AAACCCAAGTGTCCGGCTTAAAACGTGAATCTCACCTCTTAAAAAATCTGCTTTATCGCAATTTCCAATCCTAACAAAATTACATACATCAAAAACCATATATTTAAATTTTATTAAATTATTATTACACCTTTACAACCCCCATCAAACACCCCCATAATTCAATTTGCTCCCCCTGCGGAACCCACCAATTTTATCAAATTACCGGTTGCCCCTAAAAGCTTGCCCCCGACTTTCCGAAAGCTAAAAATCACCCAATCCCCTATTTTGTCAAAATCTATATTTAGCTATCTATATTCCGCTACCATACGGGGATTACTGTAGCCGTACTGTACGATTTCGCAACCCTCCCCTACCTAAAATGCACCCCTAACTTTCAAATTAATTCCAAAACACACCTCCTTCCGGCCAACCGACCCTGCCACGTTGTGTTTCAATTTGGGCCCGCTGCCCATTTTCTCAAAATTCCATTTTTTCCGACCCGATACTATGGACTTAATGAAAAATGGCCCCACTTTTTGCTGGGGCTTTTGCTAGCTGCCCCCCCCCCGCCCGGGTAAAATTATTCAAGCGTAGAAAATTCACCTCCCCCCCGAAAAGTTCAGCGTCGCATTGGCTTCTGCTCGGCCTCCTTCCCCTTCCTCTTTCTCTAGAAAGTTTATTTTAACTTTAGAAAAATCAATAATAGCTTTATCACCTTCTTTATTTTTTTCTTACGTTTATTTTAGGTTTAAGACTCATTTAAAATCGAAAAAATTAGAAAAATGAATCGAAAATGCCTCGTATCTTTTGCATACGCTTTTCCACGTCTAAGACAATACATAAAGCCATAAAACGCTAAAAATCGATAGATATGACGTTACCTGTTGTCTTCAACTTTTTCAACTTTTTATGAAGTTTATTTTAGCTTTAAAAACCATTTAAAAACCAATATACTAAAAGATCGAAAAAAGTTCGTCGTTTTTTTAACCTCTAAAATCAATGGACAAATCGATAGAACTCTAAAAAATTGATAGAAATGACGTTTCCGGTTGTCTTTAACCTGTCAAACCCGGGGTTTCCCTCCGTAGAAATACAAACAACGCGGAATCACGTCAATTTGTCGGGTTTCTTTTTCGAGTCTGGCCCCGGACTAAACTTTCCTAATGACGTTTAGTGGAATCTCTTTATTCTAGTATTCCCCAAGGTTTAAAACACAGAAAATTATGGTATTTTGATGCATCAGATTCATTCAAACTCACAAATAGCGTTATTCCGAAGCTTTTCTCGTGACGATTCGAAAAATCTGATTTTTACAGTACCGCTGGGGTTTCAAATTCAAAAATAACATGACTTTTTGCAAATTTAGAGTAGTTTGATGAATGAGGCAAATTCAATTCAATATTGACCAAATTACGTGAATTCCAGAGCTTTCCTATCAACGTTTCGAGAATCTCTTTTTTACAGTATCCCCCTGGGTATTCAAATCCAAATAACAACTTTTTTGTTGCAAAATTGACCATGATTTCATCGCTAATTTAACGCTAAGGGGATATAAAGAAAGTTAATAGAATGCTTGAATTGCCGTCCCCTCCCCTCTCTCTTCTACTGCACCGAAGACTCCGTTACTGAATAATGCACACCCATTGCGCCCCTCCCCACCGGGGGCCCCTTTTTCGGGTCGCTACTTTTTGTCGGGCTGACTGGCCGGAATGGCCCTTTAGGGTGTTTATTTTTGTTTTGAAAGTTTATTGCAACAATTTAAATAGTATTTTAATTTTTATATAATTTAACGGGGTTGGCAAGGCTATGGATTATTGCTGCTATAAAGTTTATCTAAATTTTTCGCGTCGCGACACGCAACGCGCGCAGTAGCCGCGCTAAAAACTGTCGTAATCGATTATGTAATGGAATTTTGGACGTTCGCGTTGCGTGTTGCGACGTGGAAAATTTCTATCGCATCGATAGCTTAAAACCAGAATTCTTTTCGGCGCTCAAAGTGTCGTAATCGATTACGCCATCTAAAAATTAGTCTGTGCGCTGCGTGTTGCGTCGCAGCAAAAATCTTAGGGCATCGACGGCTTTAAAAGTTACTTTGCCGCGACGTGATACGCAACGCGCACGCTACGCAATTGTCGAAAACCGGTTGCAATCGATTACGCCATAAAAATACGCGGGCTGCGCGTTGCGTTGCGTATTCTAGCGTCGTGTTGCGTCAAAATCTATACAAAATCTATGGCTTCAAAAATCCATACACACATCTTGCCAGTCCCTTTAAAATACCCAATTTTACTTCTTTCCAATTAGTGACTGATGGAATTCTTGATGACTTTTTTCTGCGCCCACCCCGCAGGAGGGGAGGGAGTGGATTTGACATTTTTTGAGGCCAATGGGAGGGAGGGGAGGAGGGTTTTGGGATCAAGGGGGCCAAGCAGGTGGCTTTAGTCTTCCGACACCCCTGGCTTTTGCCGAGAAGCCCCCTCCAATTATTCCCGAATATTGCCCTGAACTCCTATTTGTTCCACTCCTGCAACATCCGAACCACTTTGGAGAGACTAGATGTCGGAAGACAAGAAGCATTGGCTGCAGGAGAGCTCGAAGCTCTCCCGTCTTGCTGTTACGGTCAAGGCCACCGACTTCTCCAAGTTGTCTGAAGATTCCAGGTGGGAGCATTAGTGGGTGTGCTGACGGTGTTTTTGTACGTTTTTCTACTTTATTTTTCTTTTTTTTCTATTTTTGAAGGGACTTGGAAGTCAAAAACTGCACTAGATTTTCATACTGCCTTCTCTACTTCTTTTATGGTTTTTCTTCTATTCTTATTTTTAAAGGAACCCGGAAGGCATAAATTGTTATTTCCAAAACTGACGTTTCCTGTTTTTTATTGATTTTTAAAGAGCTTTAAAACCTTTTCCATTATTCCGAAATTGCCTGTTTTTACAGTATCTTCAAAACGGTCCTTTGGAAGTTTTTAATCTTTTTCCCTTGCATTTTAAAGGGACTTGGAAGGCAGAATCGTTATAGATTTCGCAAATACGCACCAAATCCCTTTAATTTTTGTATTATAATTTTTATTAAGAACTTTCCTCAGCGAAATTTTTTTCTTTTTCTTGGCCTGCACCGAGTGAACCAACCCAAAACCCAACAAACCCAAATTTTGCAATTCCTCCCATTAATATCTGGTCGATTTTCTCGTTTTTTTACCCGATTTTCAACATTTCCGCGAGCATCCGCCCGGCGTAGTGTCCAGTATCGGAATCACAGGAAATGCGTTCTTTCCAATCTGATTATCCCCCCACCGGCTATTTGCGGGGGGCTTCTCCTTCAAGGCCCCGTGCCTTTTCTCCACGCCATTGATTCCAAGCCATTGTTTCGACGCCCCCCCCCCCCACGCATTTTTTTTGCCTACGTAATTCTGATTTTTTGGGTAGTTGAGTTTTAGACAGGATTGATAGGATAAAAATAAAGATTTTTAAAATCCCTAGGGTGTCAAAATTTCACGAAACTCGTTAGACGACACGGGTCTTGCATTTTTTGCCTAATCACGGGACTTTTGTAATTCCCGGGGGTGTTCAGAGGTGTCTTACGTAGGTTTGGGAAGCCGTGGAAAGTCAGATTGTCTTGTGGGCTTCTTGAGATTTTGAAGAGTTTTGGGGATTCATTGTCGCTTTAATTTTGATGATATATTCCAATTTAGGTAATTTTCTATAATAAAACCATTTAGAACTACATTTAGATAGATATTGGCTTTTGGAAAAATAAGCAATGATTTTTTAAATGCAGTTGTTAAACTTTTCCAAACAGAATTATCGAATTTTATCCAAAAATTTGAGAATCGTTAGTTCACGCAATATATGAAAACATAGCCTATCAACAATAAAATTTAAATTAATCTTGAATAAAAATAATTTTTATCGTTAATTTTGCTTTGATTTAGCCTCTAAAAACCAAATAATTACATTTTAAAAAATCAGATTTAAGCTTAATCAACTTTTATGTACTTTTTTCTAATTTGCAGTCTCTCCTTCGAGTATTTCTGTAATGTGGGGGGTGCTTGATTAGTCAAAAGCCTTCCCCCCTTCCGGCCCTTTCCGGCCAACCGGCCTCGCGTGTGAACCCCCAAAAAATGTGTGCCTCCACACCCAATATATTAGACGCACTCGCCCACTCTGCACTCTATCCCCCTCCCGCTCCCCCTCCCGCTCCCGCTCCCGCTCGTGCTCCACGCCTAATTACTACCTCAAACAATTTCCTCAACCTAAAAACTCGCCAAAATGGGCGCCCCACCGCTATTCGAGCCCGAAAATCGGATTGAAACCGTTCCGCGAATTGCCTGGCAACGACCCACTACCACCCCGTCTGAACATCAGCCATTTTCTATGCACAGGTGATTTAACGGGGGGGCGTTTTTTTGGTCGAAAATCGTGGGTTTGATTGGGTTTTGAGTAAATTGAGCTCTGCGGGCCATGATATCTGATGCGTTAATTTTTCTTTGTTCTTTTAGTCTATAGCTTTGAAAATTTTGTATAATTCTAAATCAAGCATAAACCGATTAATTTTGTGTTTTGCTTTGATTTTGGTCGCCTTAAAATTTATGTAAAATTTTAATCAATATTTACTACTCAAAATTAACAAATCGATCAATTTTTATTTTTATTTCACGCTGGCCGCGGTGAAAAATTTTATACAATTTTCTAATATATCTCCAGCATCCGGTCAAAAGCTGTCAATATGCAAATTCTAAAAAATCCCTTAAACCCAGCAATTTTTCAGCTTTCTTTCATCTTGACCGCCCGAAAAAAATCTGCATAATTTCCTCATAAATCTCCTGAACCTGGTAAAATGCTGTCAATATGCAAATATCACTAAAACCGGAAGCTAAACGTTGTAAAATCCATTTTACCTGTATTCTCGCTAACAATGAGATACCTCCATCTTTTCTCCAAATCCCAGGTTTCGTGTTTTCCTCCAAAAACCTCTTGGGTGACATTTGTAGTTTGTAGGAATCGTTGGATGAATTGGAGATGACTCCAACAACAGTCCAAGATGCTCAAGGAGTTGTTGATGCTCAAAAAGCCCCTCAAGACAGCCCGGGCATCCTTCGGGCGGCCAAGAGCGGCCTCGATTCGCCACGCTCAAACACGTCGACCCCGGGCTCCGGGCAACGGGTCCGAATCTCGGATACTGTAGCCCAGATCCCCCCGCGAAGATACGACCCCGATCCACTGATCTTTGATTTTCCTACCGTACCCTATGACGATACAGTAGCCGACGAGGCGGAGAACCAACAGTCAAATAGTCATGCTCATGTCCCGCTGGGAAAGTCGAAATCGTCGGAACCGATTGTTGGACATCCGAGGAATATTTACAACTTGAGCATACGGTAGATAATGGGGAATGGGGAGTTATGGGAGATTGAGAATTAGAATTTCGAAAAACAGGCCTTCGGATTTTCAGAATATCGAAATTACCATAATTTTAATTTACGTTTTTGGAGCCCATGTTTTTAATTCTAAAAATTCTAAATTTAGTAAATTCATACTTCTCATAAATCATGCTCAAAGTTTCGAAACTTCGAACTCACAAAAAATTACGATTTCCGAAACTCGAGATTCTGAAAATTCCATCTTTTTTCGATATCCTAATTTTCAAAATTCCGCTGGAAAAAACGCAAAAATACCCTATTTTACAAACGAGGTGCAAATATTGGTGGTGGTGTACTGTAAAAAAACCTCTATCCTCAATTTAATACCGCAACCATTTCAGAACCGACGATCTCTGGCTCGAGCTCGATGAAGAGGACCTCGACTGCTTCAACGATGATTCCTCCCCAATCTCTCCAAGCGGAATGCGAAAGGTACGGTACCCTACTGTTCGGGGTTACGGTAATTTGTATTCTCAGCCGGCCATCGCCCTCGCCCCGCCACCCCCGAAAAGCGCCCCGCCCTGCCCCACTTCGGCTGTCAAAGTATGCGTTTTAGGAAGCTAATATTTGCTATACGACGGGTTTTTGGAAATGTAAATTGATTTAAACATTTTAGAATAGAAAAATTGGTTTTAAAGGGTTTGGGAAGGCAAATTACATAGCTTCAGGTTATAGGAAAACTGCCAAAAATCGATCGGTTATTTTTTAATACTGATATTATGCTAATTTGGTGTTTTATTTACGTCTAAAAATTTTATCAAAATCGAAAAGCCGGTTTTAAAGGGATTGGCAAGCCAAAATCCATAGCGTTAGGCCATCTGACAACACTATATTCCATTACTTGGGAATTTTTCTAGATAAAAATCTAGTTTGTGCATTTTTCCAAATTGTTCCGATATTCTAGGGCAGAAATCTATCTAGCCAATTTCTGGCTTCCAGGCTTCTTTAAAATAATTTTTTATTTTTTTAGGTAATCCAAATCGGCTCGAACTCAATAAATGGACGAACAACGCCAATTTCCATGAGCAACGGCGGCACCCCGACAATCCTACGGTAATTCGAACTTTCAACTTTTTCTACTCCTCGATTTTCAGTGATGAAACCCTGCTCCGACCGTCCGACCTCGACACCATCCGCCGTCAGGTCCATCATTCACTCGATCAGGCGGCGGTACTGCTGATCCGGCATCACAATTACTACCCTAAAAAATCAAAATATATACCCAGCATGAATTAACCCGAGAATTAGGAGAATTTATCCTGAAAACTAGTATTAAAGGGGTCGGCGAGGCGGAGTTATGGATTTTTGGTTAGGGTTTTGTCGGAACGTGGAAGGCCGCGGGACGCAACGTAAGCTGTAAAGCAAGATGCAACGCGATACGCAACGCTACACGCAAACGAGACTCAACGTGAGCGCAACATGAGACGCAACGCGAGACACATCGTGAGACGCACCGCAGACGCACCACCATAACACGCAACCCAAGACGCACCACAAGGCCAGACGCAACACAACGCCACCCGCACCGCGACGCAACGATAAACGCAGCGCTAGACCAGACACATCGGCCGCCTCGCCGCATTCTTATCATATCGTAATCGATTACGCATTGTAAAGTGAGTTTGTAAAATTTATAGCTAATCCAGAACCAAAAAATCCACAGCCCTGCCTACCCAACCCCTTTAAAAAGCATGAAAATTCCGATCCACTCCTGATTCCACCCCCGCTCCCTATTTCTTGACTTGAAATACCATATGTATTGATTGTGTGCCGGCATGGTAGTATGGCTTTTTTTACTTGGAGAATATGTAAATTGACAACCAATTTTTCAGGCAGCCACAAACGGCGAAGCCCGCCTCCAGCAATCCCTCTCCACGCCCTGCCAATCGAATGATGGCCTCGCGAGTCCGAGGAAAGACTCGGAATATCGCCGATTTAAGGTATCACTTAATTCAAAGGGATTTTGAGCCCAATTTTCAGTCGGAGGGCAGTGCAAGCGGGCCCCATCACCCGGGTGCCGGGCCGGAAATGGATGTCGCGATAACGGATGATTTTTCGCCGATTGCCGACCCGAGAAGTTCCCCACCAACTCGGCTGAATTTGTTTCAGGTACAGTATTTTAAGGTGTTTAAAGGGGTGGAGACATCCAAAGTGGGCGTGGCTTATGAGCAGATTTTGTGGCACGTTCCATTTAAAAAATTATGTGTGAGGATGGCGGCTAGAATTACGTTTTAAAGGGTTAGTGACAGGTGATAGAGCCTAAATTTTCGGCTTAAAGGGGTTGTAAAGCCAAGTTTCGAATTTAAAGGGATGGTGACAGCTAAAGTTTTTGCCGTAAAATTCAGTTGGCCAAATTTTTACACCTAAAAATAGCTTGTCTATTGAATTCCACCCCCTAAACCGTGCACCTACAGTCAATTAGCCTACCCGGGATCCAGCCACGGACAGTCAAATCCCAAATCCCCTGGTTACGACCCACTGCCCCGTGCGTCATTCCCACTCAATCGACCGAGTCTGGGGCTCGAACCCGGCCTCCCATTTGCTCACAATTTTTATGATATATGACCATCGGACTATCTATATTCGGGCGACCAAAGAATACGGTAGAATTTGTTTTCTATATAATTTATAATTAAATAAGAAGAACAAAATATTTTAATTGCTACCGAATTTGTCCAACTTCATGAAAAAATTCCATTCACGCTTAGACCAGGAAAAAGAGAGAGAGAGAGAGAGAGAGAGAGAGAGAGAGAGCCAGAGAGCGAGCGAAAGAGCGAGCGGGAGAAAGAGAGGGAGAGAGAGAGTGAGAGAGCTACAGAAATATCACAATTTTCGCCGGAATTCAAATTTTACCGACTTCCAAATATTTTGTACCTTTTCAAAGTATAGCCCAAGAAGTTCTAGGCTAGAAATCTAGGCGAAAACCCAGAAATATCACAATTTCCGGCGGCGCCTACCCCCATTCCGAAAATGAACTAATTACGCTCAGCTAGCCCCAAAATTGCTTGCCATTTGGAATCCCGAGACTGTTTTACTATTTTATTTCCTTTAATTTTCATTTTTCAGCAAGACTCCGTCGTGAATGGCCCGCTCACAAAGCATTCAAACACCGAACAGGTATGAAACCATAATTTTTAAGCTTAAAACTTTGTAAAAGTTTTAAAAATGATTTTTACCAATTTTTATGCGTTTAAGGTGATAATGATGCACACGCTGAAGACCAAGCTCAGCAAATACCAATCGTTCCTCGACAAAGCCTTCCAACTAATCGCCCAAAATTCGGAGGAGCAAATTGTTGAGGTGAGTGTGACTCCTCGCATAGTTTGCCGGCGAGCCACCAAGTGCAATATAGCATCACCTAATGAGCAAGCACTTTCCGGTCATGTTCCATTCATTTCCGGAATTTTTTGAATTATCAAATTTTCATTTTTAGGGCTGCAACATCGTTGGGAAGGTGATGAACAAGGCGTGGATGTTTCCGAAGGTAAAATTACGTAGTTTAAATATTATTAAATTACATAAATATGATTTGAATGATCCTAAAACTCCCTAAAACTATAGATTGAATTTATCAAATTTCTAAATAAAGGCATTTTCTATTAATTTTGAAAAACATGTTTTTAAGTTTAAGTTTAATTTTTTTTTAGAATTTTAAAAAACCGCTCAAAAACACATCAAGATATAAAAATATATAATTCATGACTTAACACAATCAATTTTATGCTATTTAATTTTATGCAAAGAGATGTCGAATGGAAAAGTCCATATTTTGTGCTAATTTGTTGGGGTTCGCGATTTTACTAAACCGCTAAAAATAAAATTAATGTATATAAAAACATCTAATTCATTAATTAAAAAATACGGTAAATTTTTTGCGATTTAAATTATGCAAATTAGGTCTCCCACGATCTTTCCTATGCCCTGTGCGACTATCTACGCGACCAAAAACACTTCGAGGTGTTGCTCCAATATTTCATCAACCCGAACACGTGCGAGATGGGTTAGAAAGTTACTGTTTACACCAATTAACCTCAAATTTTAGTGAGACTAGCCTGCGGACGAGTGCTAGAAGAGTGTATGTCGACCAACAACCGCGACTACATCGTTGGAAAGAGTAAGAAAAATACGGTAACCTTTCTAAAAAGAATTCCCGATCCAGATCTGCTGAAAAAGATCGTCAGCATGGCGGAGAAGCTGAACAAAAACCCCGATCAGCAGCGAGTGAGCCTGAGCATTATGGAGAGCCTGTTTAAGCATAGTCCGCAGACATCGTATCGGTATTGTATCCGGTTTAAAGGACCATTGAAGGCCAATTTTTTAGACTAATTGAGTACGGGGTTTTGGATCATATTATTTTGACGTGTAAGCGGTCAACGGATACTCCAAGGACTTTAAGGTATATTTTTTTGAATTTTCATACCTCAATTTTGCCTTAGAAATGCCGCCCTGGCCTTGGCGAATTTGTCGTTGTACAGCTGCTCTGAAGGCAAAAAGAAAATTATGCAAAAGAAGGTAAAATCGATATTTTTTGCGGAATTACCCATTTTTTTCAGGTCCCAGAATGGCTCTTCCTCCTCGCCTCCCAAATGGACGATCTAACCCGATACTACGCCTGTCTGGCCATCTGCGTTTTTGGCAGCTCCAAAGTAGTAAAACGAAATTTTTTGAGATATGCAAATGTTGCGATTAGGAAATGGAGACGGCTGTCAACAAGAGTGGCACCCTCGGTCTCGTAGAGCCATTCCTGCTCTCCCATAACGCGTGTACTTTCGCGGAGCAACACTACAAGTACAGCCAGGGGCGGCCCAAGGAGTGGCTCGTACGGTATGTATTATGACGTAGAGTATGGTTTTTGCGTAGTGTAACGCAGCGTAAAGTAAACTTTATCATAAGTAGAGTACAATAGTTGCGTAGCGTAACATAGCGCAGTGTTACATACTAAATTTCTACAGTAATTTGAGCGTAGCGTGACGTAGTACCATTTTTCTACCAGTTTTTTTCGCGTAGCGTCGTAGCGTAGCGCAGCGCCGTATTTTGCTACGATACTCGATAGAATGCTTTTTTCTGCGCAACTTAGAGTAGCATTGCGTATTTTTAAGGGTTTTTCTGTAAGCGTGGTGTACTAAATTTAAAAAATCCGGTGGCGTAGCGTGTCGTAGCGTAGCGTACTAAATCGTAACCTCTTTAACAGGGTCTTTGCTTAGCGTAACGTAATATTTTTTTTACATTAACCCTGAGCCCTCCCACGCTTTCGTATAGTCACATATCGGAAAATTGGAGCCCAAAATCGCGTAAAAATTAATTTTTGGTGTTCATCGTCTTCAGTATCTAGAATCCCAATGAAGCTTCCGCTTCTAGTGGTACTGTCTGGCCAATGCTGTGTTTTAGCCTGATGCCGATGCTGCAGTCGAAGTGCCGAGAGGCCCGCTCCATTGCAGCTTACCACCTCACCATGGAGGCGACAATCAAGAAGGACCAGAACAAGCTGGACGTCTTCCAGGTGGGGATTTTTTTCTACCTTGTAGCCAAGCCAAACTCTCTGTTTTCCTTGCACAACATTACGCTCCTATTTACGGCCCTTTCCGTCCCCTTTTTGGCCGTTGTGACCGGAAGTTTTGACAGGGCTAGGCGCCACCCAGCTGCCCCTTATCATTGTGTAGTAAGCACTTTTTAACCGGCCAACCAGGGGTAGGGCAAAATTTAGAAATACAGACGCGTATCGAGACGGATTAGGCTTTTCTGCTTTTCCTTTTGGGCTCACGCCCCCCAAAGAGCCGGGGGTTTGTTTTGGTCAAGAAGGGGGGGGAAAGGGGGGGGGGGGGGCCCGTCGGCCACCGGGATGGACCGAGGGGGAATGGTTCCGGTTTCGGGCGTTTTTTCGGGAATTTTTGGGGAGATCTGTGTTTTTTAGTATTTTGAGGGTTTTTGCGGATTTTCTGGGTTTTAAAGGGACTCGGAAGTCTGGAAAAACGTGCTCTAGGCTTTTGGCAATTCATCTCCAGCAAGTTCAAATTTTTAAGTTAAAATTATAAAAAAACACGTTGTAAGAAGTATTTGCAATCAGAAAAAGTTTCTGGAAAATGCAAAATCTCTGGAATTATGATTTTAATACGTTAACTCATGAAAATCAGGTTTTAAAGGGACTAGGAAGGCCGAGAAAACGTGAAACAGTCTTTTGGCAAACCGCCACGTCCTGAAAATTCGAAATAAACACTTCACATATCGGTAATATCGAGTTTTAAAGGTATTGGGAAGCCACCAAAAACGCCCTGAGGTTTTTGCCAAGGCACCAACGTTTCAAAAAATTATGATTTTTACGATAAAATCCCTTAAATCTGGTCCCAAGGGAAATAGAGGCGAAAAATTTGGCAAGCTTCCAAAAATCATTACCATGCCGTAAAAAAATCAGTTTTTAGCTAAATTACATTCTTTATATTTCCCTACTAGATTCTAGCCGTTCCCCCATCCCATCCCCACCCTCACCAGCCCTCTAAGAAATCGAAAAACAGGGGGTTCCCCCGTCTCCCCTTCAAAAAAGCGCAAAGGTGAAGCACGTGTCGGGGCCCGGGGTCCTGTTTCCCTGTTTTTCTCTGCGGGATCCCCCCACCCTTCACCAAGACGTTACGATAACAGCAACACAGCTTTCGGCTGGACAGGCGGGGACAGGTCTGCTGTGGGTGCCTTGTTGATTTCTGTGCCCTTTGGGGCCAAAAAATGGGATTGCACTATGGGGGGCCCAGAGTCCCAGCTTGCACTTTTCAGATCGATTCATACCGGGTCAGTCAACAGTAAACATATAGCGTTCAAGGTGTTAGAGAGGGGAGAGAGCAGAGAGAGCGAGAGAGAGAGGGAGAGACGATTTGAAATGCGGGTGGCTGACTGTTTGAGAGGGTGTTTGGAGGAGTTGGGAGGAATGTGGATAGGAATGGAATGGAAGGTGGGTGGTGGATCTAGAAAAAAGAGTACTGTAACCATTCAATGGTAAATTTAAATAGTTGAACAGTTTTGATATCTCGGGGATACTGTAGGGCATGATCTTGCGTCCTAACTTTTCGTTTCTATACGCCTTGCACTCATTGAAACTGGAATTTAGTTTGTCTAATAACAAAACCTGCTTTGAAAAAACCCTTGGATCTTTGCTTATTTTCCAAAGTTTTTTTTCCCAAAAAATCCCTTTTTTTTTCCCCTCACCCTTCTAAAGAGTTTTTTTTTTTTTTTTAAAAGAGATGTTTAAAATATTGAATGTTGAGGTTTTTTTTGCTTTCTACACTGCTTTGGGTCCTAAATTTCCGCTTAGATACTTCTTACACCGGTTTTAAATAGAATTTAGCTGATTTAGCAGAACTGGATTGAAAGCGATAGCTCAAAGATACTGTAGCGGAGTTTTAAATAGCTGTTCCATCCCTTTTTCCACCTATATACTCCTTACACCCCCTAGGCGATTAACTTCCCCTGTCCCCAAATGACCCCACCCCCAAAAAGAAGGACAAAAGATTACGTGTCTAATCGTGTCCAGCCCGGCCCTTCCTGGTGCCAATTTCGTATCTCGCACTGTCGTTCTCCCTCTCTCTCTCTCTCTCTCTCTCTCTCTCCTGGTTGACCTCAGTATTGCGCCAAGTGGCTGGGGGCACAGAATAGGGGAGGAATGTCTTGCGCAACGGTCCCTTACCCCCATCCCTTTAGCAGGTTGCGACGGCTGCTACCAGTTGACCGTTCTCTCTCTCTCTCTCTCTCTCTCTCTCTCTCTCTCTCTCTCTCTTTCTCTCTCTCTCTCTTCCTTCTTTCGGATATCCCGCCATATCCTCCCCCCACCCCTCCAGGGATTGTTGACCCAGTCTTGGCCCCGGGCCAAAAGGTCTCCCCGGGGTATCTCGACCCCCTGAACCTAAAATGCGCCCTAAAAGATGGCTTGCGCAACAGGGGGTAACCCTGAGGGGAAGGGAAGCTATCTGGCACACCGCAAATAAGGACATCTTATGCACGCAGCGTTTAAACCCGGGCTTCCGCTTGGGGGCGCGGGGAGGAGTACGGTAGCTTGGTTCGATGATTCGGGGTTGGCCTGCTGGGAGGATATTAAAGACGATCTACTTGTGGGTTTGGGGGTACGGTAGGTAACGCTGTGGCTAGACCAATGTGTAGCAACAGATTTTGCGGCGGTTTAAAGGGTTTGTGAAGGCTAAATCGAGTGTGATGGTCTAGAAAACAAGCCTCCTAGCACCTTTGAGCTTATTAAAAGTTCTAAATAAGCTTTGACGACTCATTTAAATTGTGTATAAAGCGGAAAATTGCCTTCCTGGTGCCTTTAGACCACCCAAAAGTCGGAAAATTAGCTAAATTAGGTCCCGAAACGTTCTTGGCAACTCACAAAAACTTAACAACCGAGTTTTTCACTTTCCAGTCCCTTTAAACCCCCGGAAACCGGTCGAAAACTCAAAAAACACCCACCGTCTCCCCAACATCTGGCCGCCATGACAAATGCTCCCTTAAGCCGAAAGTCAAACCCCTATGACTCTCATCACCTCATCCATGACACCCTCTACCTCTCCTATTATGACACATCAGTATCCTCTACGGATGTATGGCCTGGCTATGATGGGCCACTATAGAAAAACACACCACCCCCCGGATGCGCAGCCGGTTTCCCCTCCCCGCGCGGACAGTGGCGCGCTATGCCCTTACACACTAGCTTAGGGCCCTTGACAGTGAGAGAGAGAGAGAGAGAGAGAGAGAAAGAGAGAAAGGGGAAAGTGCTGACTCATCATCTCATACCAATGATGAGTCATAGCCTAGGGTGGGCTCTGTACCAATAACACAATGGCGGGGGTATTGGTTTTACGGCTCAGGCGCAAGGAGCATAAGCTGGTACGCTAATTAGGGCTAAGAAGCTGAAAAAGCAGCTTTAAAGGGATTGTGAAGGTTGTGAATTTTGACTTCCTGGTCCCTTTAAAACATGTAAACAGATAGCTTTCTAGCCCCTAGTACTTCCTGGACCCGAATTTGATAACCAAACATTCGGCACTCCAGATTACTCAACCCTCCAACCCCACACATCCACGTGGCGCTTCCTGGCGCCAAATTCAAAAAAATTTTCCTACGTATGTCTACGACACAGTCTTTATCATCAAAGGACTCTCTCCCCTAACAGATCTCCCTCTCCCCCTCCTTCTTCTCCCCTAACCACCCAACAGTGCCAATTATCTAACGGTATGCCTCCTGCTGCCCCTCCTCACCTATTTCGTCATATCTGTGACCTGAGCCTTCGGTTCGCCCTGGTACGGTCAGCGGGAGAGAGAGAGAGAGAGAGAGAGAGAGAGAGAGAGACAGTGGCCCTCTGGCAGCAACAGCAGGTGCTAATGGTTTGTATAAGACATTTGAAGGTGGGGATTTGGGGTCGTAAAGGGGCTCGGAATAGCGACGCAGGTGGGGAGCGGGTACTGTAGCTTTCAATAGTGTCGCTGCACTTTAGTGAGTTTTTTATTGATTTTTGGCTCAACACGGCAATTCAAGGCTACAAAGTATAGGACCGGCTACGCAAGGCTCCTCTGAACGCGTAGATACCGTGCGCTTTTGAAAACTTAACTTATTGAAGGTTTTTAAGCCTAAAAATCAGTAGAAATCTAGAATTTAGGCTAATCACGGCAATTCCAGGCTACAATTTTTACGATAGGCTACACGAGGCCCCTCTGAAATGGTAGATGCCGCGCGCCTTCAAAAAAAGACGTTTTGAAGCTTTTTGAGCCTGAAATCTAGTAGAAATCTAATTCTTGACTCGCCACGGCAATTCCAAGCTACAAATCACACCTTGGACTACGTTACGCTCCTCCAGACGCGTTGCCGCTGTGCGCGTGTTGCAATTTCACTTTCCAAAGCGCCATGGCTTGCAGAACTTTCCAGTCCTAGCCACCCAACGCCCAAACTACAAAGTGCACCCCACCCTCCCCCTAGGCAAGTCCGAAGTCCACCTCCTTCCGATTGATACCCCCTTCCCCCGCTCTTTAAAGGTCTCCCCTCCCCGATCACCCCCGCCAGCCTGCTCTGAGAGGTCAATATTCTCATATGATTTTCATAAATCATGATAAGACACGCTCCCCGCGCCCAGCGCACCCATCCCGCGCCCCCAATTTGCTATGGTGTGCTCTGGGGGTGATTGTGACGTAGTTGGCACAGCCACGAGCACAGTCACCAGCCAGCCAGTCCCACTCCGTAGATCACACCAAATCAACAGGGCGCGTGTAATGGTCTTAGGCCTACAACGAGAAACAGGGCTTAAAATTGAGCCTACGTTGAGCCTGAGCCTGAGCCTGAGCATGAAAATTGGTAAAGCTTTTTTTTAACCCGTCCACCCCTCCACCACCGAAACAGTCAGTCCATTTCTGGAAAGTTCACGAAGAGATCGGGGGACCCCTTTTTGAGACTTTTTCGGGCCGGAAAGGGAGGTCGAAACAGCCTTTTTTTCCCGGACGTGTGCAAACAGGGAGTCTGTGCTCCTGTAGCGATCTATGGCGGTCGATTAGGTCGGGTACAATTGCTGTTCAGGTTCCTGTAGTGGGAGTAGGGCTGTCTGTCTCTCTCTCTCACTTTCTCTCTCTTTCTTTTCTCTCTCTCTCTCTCTCTCTCTCTCTCTCGGGGACTGTACGTGACTGTGCTTTTAAAGATTGGGACAGGTTGTGCAATCGGGGCTATTTTTCTCTAGCTTATCGGGCTGTCTTGCTCGTTTTTGGTTATCTCTGTCTCTGGCTCTCTCTCTCTCTCTCTCTCTCTTTCTCTCCTAGTTTTCACTTATCCTGGCTAAAAGCCATGACGAAAATGGGAAACATAATGTCAGTATAACCCGATTTGAATCCAATTACCTCTCTCTCTCTCTCTCTCTCTCTCTCTCTCTCTTGCTCTCTCTCCCCACCCACTCAACCAATCCTAGATTAACTATTGACTCATCAAACCGAAAGCGCTACTGGTCCCCCGGTTGCCTTTTGTTTATTTGATTGCAAGAGTCCCAACTTCACCTCCAAAAATCCCCACAAACCCAGGGGAAAAGCCGGGAAAAGCCTCTAGACGGACGGAAAAGACGGTCAAGAAAACAAAATGTTCGCAAAGGGCAGCAGCAGAAAGGTGTGTAGCTTTTTCGAGGAGTCGAGAAAGAGGACGAAGTGGACAACATTCCCCCCAGCCCGGGACGGTCAGCAGCTTTCAACGACTGGCTGGGGAAGTCTGGACCCTCGATCGAGGGGTCAACATGTTGATCGAGTCGGCCAAGGGCGCATTCCGTCGAGATATTTTATGCAAATGCCCTGGCAAGCGCGCTGGGACTTTTGAGGTGTACGGCGGACAACAGTGTACTATTTGCGTCTCGGAAAGTTCGATTTTTCTGGAAAATGAGGGATGCGGGGTACTGTAATGTCCTTTTGAGACATAAAAAAGAGAATAACAAGTTATGAACTAATAAAAAATGTTAAAAATACTACAGTATTTGGCTGGAAAATGCAAAAATACAAAAATGTTTTGAGAATTTTTGGTTTGACGTGTAAACGATTTTCATGACCGGAAATGCTTCTGGTTTGTTTGAAAAAGTCACAAAAATTACATTAATCATCTGAAAATATGGAAAACTAAATACTAAATATTTAGGATTTTTAAAACTATTAAAAACTATTTTTTTCATCTAAAATTAAGATTTTTACTCTTAAGCTATCCAGGTAACCAAAAAAGACTTTCTAAATTTTACAAAAATGGAAAAAATCGTACAGTGATTCTTTTAGTATCTAAAAACTACACAATACACCTTATTACGCTAAAGAAGTTGCTTTGCTAGTCCCTTTAGAAACGTTTTTTTACCGAACACCTGCCCGTTGCAAAACCCTGCAACACCAAAAGCGATAACCCCGCACCTGCAAACGCCCAGTTATTTTTGTATGCAAAAAAAAACACAACAACCAGCTTAACCGGCTCACCTATCATCTTTTTTGGCGCCCCCCACACTCGTGCTCTTACTGACCCATTCCCATGCTATTGTTTTCAAAAACACCTCCACAAAACCGGGCGTTCGACCCCCAAAATCGAAAATACCGTACCGGACATGGCTAATTTCAAAATTCTCCACCGTCTGGTGCTCAAAAAATAGCTCGATAAAAATAGCGGCAAAAGAGAGCGAGAGAGAGAGAGAGAGAGAGAGAGAGAGAGAGAGAGAGCGAGAAAGAGAACAAAAAGTCGCCTTCGCTGAATCCGTGAATAGTCCAAGGGGGTGATAATGCGATTATGTGAGGGAGTGAGGGCCATTCTGCCCATTCTCACCCGAATTCTATAATTCGCCCAACTGCGTCAAACTTGAGCCCCAGCCGGGCAGCCAGCCGGAACTTGGCCGAAAAAGGAAACAGCTTAAAACCATCCAAAGCAGCTTAAACTTAAGCTGTTAAGCGAGGAGTTCCGTTTAGACGACGTCGCGGAAGGGATGTTTTTCATATCAATCGCCTCGAAAGCTGCTGCTCCTTGGCCCTCTCGTGCTCTTTTGCTCCTCGGGTTCGCCCTCTGGCTTATCCAGAAGTCAAAGCAGCTTAAAAACATCTAAACCTAAGCTCTGAAGAGTTCCGTTTAGACGTGAAGTGATTTTTTCATATCAATCGGCCCCTGAAATATCCCCAATTATCCGAAGTTGCTGCTCATTGCTGCTGCTCTCTTACCCCTTGTGCTCCTTTTGCTTTTCTTGCTCCTCGTGCTCGCCCTCTGGCTTGTTCAGAGATCAAAGGACCGATTTAGGGGATGTCTAAGTCATTTCCCCGATTTTCAACGTTTGATTCCCCCCAAAAAAACCTCGTGCTCGCGCGTTGGGCTGTGGATTTTGAACTGCGGGAGGAACATCGGTAGCCGATTAACCTGCAAAAACGTGTAGGGTTGTCTGTCTGGTGCTCTCTCTCTCTCTCTCTCTCTCTCTCTCCAACCCAACGTGTCCAAGCCGGAATCACTATATGGCGCCAATTATTAGCCAAACGGCTGGCTGGGGCGATATGGCTGGTTCCCAGAAGAAAAACTTGCAGTTCCGTGAACACCCCATGGACAGATAAATAAATAAATTACGTAATATTAGTGGCCAAATTTGGGTTAGTCGAACGAGACCTGGCTTCCGCTTATCAGTCGCTTTTCGAAATTCCTGCCCTCACGCTAGTTGTTTTTTCCACTTGAAAACCGAAGAACGGGTTTTAGTTTTAGTTTTCAAACGTTTTTGAGAATACTTGGTATTAAATCTTATAAAATTAAAATATATAGACAAATCTTGGTCTTAGAAATTTAAGAAAAACACCGGAAATAAATCTTTTATTTCCATTAAAATCTATTAATATCAAAGATTCCGGGCCCATTCATGAAATTTCATTGAATTCCCCCTCGCTCCTCCATGCTCTCCCCGTAAATAACAACATAATGCATGTCTCAAGGAATTCCTGGACTCTCAAGGAATCCCCGAAACATGCCATTCCCATTTCCGGTTTTTGTAATCAAATGGAATCCGGGGTATTTCACGGTATCGGCGCTTCCGATCTGGGGTGCTCTACCCTCCCAAATGCCTGAGATTTCTGGGGTGTGTGTCAGCAGGGTGGGAAATTATTACATGCCCCCCTGGGGGTATCTTGGCTGATAGCCAACCATTTCTTGGGAATGTTCCAGAACCCCCCGAGGCATCGTCCACCCACTATTGACCCCCTCGATATACGAAAATATTCGCCCAACATTGGAGAGGTAGCCCCAGACATCCCACCTTTCCGCCAGGCTCCGCCCCCTAAAAAGGGGCGGAGCTTGGGACGGGCTTGCCGCAAAGTGTCAACCCTCCCATTCCCTTCCCTTTACCACCCCTTCAAGCTTCCGAAGCTTCCCTATATTCAATTTCGCAATGATAGAAGACCTCAAACACGATCCAGACGATCAACCCGTCTGTAATTTCTTCGACATCCACTCCCCGATGACCAAGGAATTCCACGAAGACATCGGCAGCTACTGCCCCCCAATCCCAGTTGTCAATACCCCAATGGCATTGATACCCCAAGCTTACAACTGCGGTGATGACACCGACACCGGATATTCAAGTGATTCCACCGATTCTGACCCTCAAAAGTTGAGGCCCCCAAAGCACATGCTCCATGTCGAGCGCCCAACCAGACTCGATTCTCAAAAATGCAGGAAACTGAGCATCATCCCAAAGACGTATTACTATAATACTCCCACTGATATTCCCGGAACATCTACCAGAACACCCCTCGCGGAGCTTGTAGCTCAATCGGTGCTGGGCACGGCATGCGTGGAGCCGGAGAATCCCCTACCTGCTAAGACTCAACTTATTTCTGACCCATCCAGGCTTTGCAATGACCGTACTGTCGCTTTGCAGCGATTTAGAAGATCGAGGACAAGGAATTTTTTCCATCCATATGCACAGGTGGGATTTTGGACTCAAATCGATTCTCTTTTTCTTATCGCCCTTTGGGGTGAAGCCATTTTTATGATGGATGAATCATTGGGGGCTTGGATTTCTTGGAAAGCTATTAAAAAATTTTATATGTTTAAATTTACGTAGAAAGGGCGTAGTTTTTGGTTTTTTGTACCTTGAATCCAGATTTTCTTGCATCATCTTGACGGTCTTTTCAAGTGTTTTCTTGCATCACTGGGGTTAATTTGGTCCCGGAACGGTACGAGACACTCCTATTGACATTTTGGATCAGCTGGAAGCTAGCCTGAACCCCCGGAAATCAGCCGGTTTTCAATCACGTGACCATATCCCAAGGCTCTTTTTCTTAGTATCCATTTTCGCCCCTTTGACGAATCCCGAAATTTATTACCCGAACACACAGTGTCTGGCCTACTTCCCGTTCTCTCCTTCTCATCCTCTTGCTCCTCAGCTATTTTCGAGCCAGCCTGACCTTGTCCTCAACCCCCCTGAAATGCTAGAAATCACAAACAACCACCTGGCGACTAGGGGAAGCGAGGAAACCGGCCACCGGTTTTCCATATCGTAGCGTGTGCCTGCCTCCCCACCCCCTCAAAATCAGAGGTGTGCAGATTGTTACCATGCGTCACAGACTCCAGATACGGAAATGTGGGGATAGTCCGCGAATTTTGTACGCGCGGAGTGCAACGAACAACGTACCCAGATCTAGGCGTCCCAGGGAGTTCGGCTAGTTCTCTTATTCCCGACGATACTCCAAACATCAACACAACTAGGTGGTCGTTAGGAGAGAGAGAGAGAGAGAGTGTGTGAGAGAGAGAGATAGTGGCGGCTGCACTTCGGTCTCCGCGAAACAATCCTTTGCGCAACGGGGGCATCCGAGGACATGACCCCGGGGGCCGTTTTGGCACTCGGCCAAGTGCCCTCTGGCTAAGATTTAGGGGGTGGGGGTTGCCGCGCGCAAGGTATGCTTGTTAATCTGATCTCTGGCAGGATCTGGTGGCTAGTGAAAATTGGCATGCAGCCAAAAATAGAAAATTTGGGAAAAATGGAAAGTTTGACTTCACTGTACCTTTAAAACACTCAAAAACTAAATTTTTGTAAGAGTTGAGAGCATTTCTCACTGGGTCTAAGCGTATATATAAGCTTAAAATAATTTATCGCTTCGAAAATTGCCTTCACTGTCCCTTTAAAATATTCGAAAAGCAGATTCTTATACGATATTGAACTTTTCAAGGCTTAAGCTTAAGCCAAAAGCCAATCTTACCTGAGCACGAGCTCAAGCTCATTCAATAAAATTCTAACCACAATTTACGGACTATATCGTGAAAATTTTATTAGTTTCTAAGCTTTCTCACCCCTTTAAAACTCCAACATCTCATTTTAACCCCGTCTCCCCCATTGTAAGATTACCAACTCTAAGCCCCGCGCCCTTTTCAATCACCCTAATGGAACTTCGAGCTCGAGCTCAAAATGAGCCGGCTTTTTTTGCTGCCTAAGACTCCCCGATTTTGCCCGATTCAGCCCGCAGTAGGGGTAGAAGAAGGGGGAAGACGCATTCCGGCTGGCTGCACTCGAACGGTCTTTCTTTGTGTCTCTCGCTCTCTGTCTCTCTCTTTCTACACTCTCTAGCCAGCTACGTGGTGTGCAAGAACGATGACTCAGCTGAGCCCTGCGGGGGAATACTAGGGCTAGTGGGGGTGTCTCTTGAGAATCTGGACTGTATGCCTATGCGTCGTCAGTCTTTCGAAAGTCTGGCGGGTGGGGTCAAATACGGTGTGCTAGAGGTGTTGTGCAATGTTTCTAGCTTTTCTTTAGCCCTTCCGAACAGTCTTACACCCCTGACAATTAGGCCGTATTAGCCTATCCGATCTGAGCATGACATGGTGCTCCTGGGATGAGTCATAGAGGTCTCAGGGTATCAAAGAAAATCCTTTCTCCCTTTTCTTGCTCCCGACCTTCGCTTGGATAGTTCCGCGAAGATACCAAGTGACAGTCAGCGCAAGGCAATTCCGAGGAAACCCTAGTTACACCCGGATTCCGAAGGTATACTGTGTAATCTGCCTCCAAAAATACTCCCCCCTCAACCGCCCCGCAAGGGCTTCAGCTGCCCCCGAAAAAAGGGCGCTACCCCGGCAACTCGGCCTCTTTTTCAGGGGTTCTATATAAATCCGTGAATTCCGATACTTTCCTATCGGCACCCCACCTAATATAACAATCCCAAAAATTCCGGTACAATCCTATCGACACCTCTGAGCACTGTATATAAGCCCAAAATTCCGAGACACTCCTTTCTACCCATAAAAATCCCTAGATTCCGTTACACCCCTGGCGACATCAGTAAAAACTTATTGATTATTCAGGAAATCGGCGCCATCCAAGCCCTGAAAGAAGTCGCCTCCAGCCCCGATGAGGTGGCCGCCAAGTTCGCCTCCGAAGCCCTGACCGTCATCGGCGAGGAGCTGCCCTACCAGCTGGCCCAACAAGTCCCCTGCTGGACAACGGCTGACGTGCAGTACTGGGTGAAAAAGGTATGTAAATTTTTTAATCGATAAAATAGTTTTTAACTTTTAATCTCAAGTACAAACTGTCTGCTTTCTTAGAGGCTTTCCCAGCCTTATCAGGCTTCTCAGGCTTTTCCCTTCCTCCTTTCTTTCCGGCTTCAAAAGCTGGGTGTGTCTGAGAGTCTTAAAATCTGCACCCTATCGCTCCCTTTGAACTATCAAAACTTGATTAGCACAAAAAGCAGTGAAACCGCACGTACTGGTGAAGATCTCTGAAAATTTGCTCATTTCCAGATCGGCTTCGAGCAATATGCCGAGGCATTCCGGGAGAATATGGTCGACGGAGACCTGTTGCTCCATTTGACGGAGAGGGACCTCGAGGATGACCTCAAAATCCATTCCGGGATCTTGAGAAAGAGGTTCTTGAGAGAACTGGAGAGCCTGAAGATTGCTGCCGACTACAGTTCCGTGGATGACACGCAGTTGGACCAGTTTTTGATGTCGTTGAGCCCGGAATTGTCGGTTTATACATATCAGGTAAGAATATATCTTAAAATTTAACCCTAAAAATTGTAGATGCTCACCGCCGGCATCAACCGACCACTCCTCCCCAACCTCACCGACGACATGATGCAAAAAGCCTGCGGCATCACCAACCCGATCCATCGCCTCAAGCTCAAAAACGCATTCCAAGACGCCAAGCACATCGACGACATCGAGATCGCGCTCCTGAGGCAGCAAATCGACGTCTTCATCTCGTACCGAAGGAGCACGGGCAACCAGCTGGCCTCCCTGATCAAGGTGCTGCTCCAGCTGCGCGGCTACAAGGTGTTCATCGACGTCGACAAGTTGTACGCCGGGAAATTTGATTCGTCTTTGCTGAAGAACATCCAGGCGGCCAAGCATTTTATTTTGGTGTTGACCAAGGATTCGTTGGATCGTCTTCTAAATGATCACAATTGTGAGGATTGGATTCATAAGGAGGTGAGGATTTTTTGAGATTAAAGGGATGGTGACAAGGGATTTTCCTTTGTAGCTTGGCTCTCCTTAATGCTGCAATGCTGTAAAATATACCGAAAACTCGCCAGATCAAGACGAACATTTTGGTATATTTTACATACCTGTAAGATTAAGTGGAGCCAAGATACGAGCCAAATTTTTACGGTACTAAATCAAATTTTCCAGCTCCGCTGCGCTTTTGAGCACCAGAAAAACATCATCCCGCTCTTCGACTCCAACTTCGAGTTCCCTGTCAACGACCAAGAGATCCCGTCTGACATCCGGATGATCACCAAGTACAACGGTGTCCGCTGGGTGCACGACTACCAAGAAGCCTGCATGGACAAGGTCGAGAAGTTCATCAAGGGCGAGCTGAACAGGCAGCCGTCGGTCAATCAGGTTGGTAATAAATATACTTTAATAGGTTTCTAATGTACTTAATTACCGTTATAATACTTTAATTTTTAATACGTTACTGTACTTTGTATAACCTCGTACTTCAGCCCTCCCTCCCGGCCACCGCCTCACATCCGGCTGTCGTGACGGCCCGAAAATCGCCGCGCTGGAACCCTAGCAGCCGCCAGCCGAGCAGCGGGTCGCGCAGCAATCTGGCAAGGCTGGACGCGCCGCCAACACCATCATGTGAGTATTTTTTTGGATTTTAAAGGACTTGTGAAGGCAAAAAATCTCTAGATTCAAATTTATCTTTGAAATTTTAGTCGGCGGCTCCATCGAAAAGCAAAGACGAAAGGCGTTCCACACGAGCGCGAGCACCGTCAGCACTGGGACTCACTAAAAATGGGCTTCTTCTACGGCTTCAGGCTTCTCCTCGGCACTTCCGGTTTTATCATTCCCTCAAAATCCATTCCAACACCCTTAAAAATGTGCCTTCTTTAATAACCCCCCAAACTTCTACTTGATTTTTTGAATTGCTTTTAAACCTTTTTTACAGATTTTAAGCTTTTTAAAGCCTTTTTAAAGCAATTCCACCCCTCCCTCTCCCTTGAAATTCACTTATTCGGGACCAAAAACCCCTATACCTTGCCCCTTCTACCGTACCCTACCGTACCCTACCCCCCCTATATTTCGCTCAACTACCCCTCAAATACTTGTGCACGGGCCTACCCGGTGAATTCCTTACTTATTCCCTACATTCCCCCCGTATTTTAGAAATTTATTTTTCGTAGAATTCTAGTGGTTTTTTTGATAGATTTGTATATATATCTATATAGTATATAGATAGTTAGTTGGCTATGGTCTTTGTAAAAAAGTTACAGTATTTTTAAACTATTTAAATAGCCAATTAGCTTAAAAACCTACTTCTCCCACACTTTTCTGGGATTAGCGCCTGGTGCACACATCGAGAATACTACTTAAAGACTACTTAAAAATACTATCCACACCCCTGACCGGTCACAAAACCTTCGATTTTTCACCCCCTTTACACAGCTTTACACACCCCCAAAAACATCACCTATTGCCGCATTAATGGTATGCTTATTTGGAACATTCCGGTATTTTCATTTTGCCTTTTTTGAGTGTGAATTTGTTGTCTTTAATTGTCTACACTTCTCAACAAAAACGACGCTTTACTATACCCCCTCTATCTGTGGTTAAACCCCAAAAATGGAATCAACAGGTTATCCCCCCACTTTTTGTATAGTTTTATATTTTTTTGTAAAGTTTTATTGGTACCCTTGGTCTGGAATGAACAACTATATCCACTTAATATTAAAACCTACCGACCATACCCCGCTGGATTATACATATTATAGACGTTCTAAACCCCCCGATTCCGCGTGTCTGTGTTCTGATTTTCCACATTCTATTTCTTTGTGTTTCTGTTCATTTCCGGCTATTTAAATAAATATTTCTGGGAATATTTGAGTACGCGAGCATGCTAAAAACGCACCGAATCATACAAACTTTTTAGAAAAATGTTTATAATTTTTTTGGATGAAGTTAATTGAACTGAAATTGTTATGGTAGCTAGTCAATCATAAAAACTATGATTTTCTAATTTTCGTAGCAGATATTAAAAAAATGGAAAAGTTACAGCGAAACTAAGGCGTCATTTGCAGCATTTAGAAGCTCTTTCAGGAACTTAAAGCTCTAAAAATTTAATAAAAAATATAAGCATAGTTTCCCGGAGAGAAAACGTTTCTGAATTACCAATAAATTTTTATTTCTAAGCTTAATTACCTTCAAATTTTGAAAAAATTGGTATAATTGCAAATCCTGCAAAACCAGCAAAACACTTTGCTTTACTGATCTCATTTTTTACAAGCAATTTCCTAAAATGTAACCAGATTTTTCCTATATAGAAAAACGTTTTTAAATTGCTTAATAACCGTAAACTTTTTGCTTTTAGCGTTAACTATCTTATAATTTGCAATAACCGGAGGCTAAATGCAAAAACAACAAAAAACGTTGCTTTGCGGATCTCCTTTTTACAACGAGCATTACAACTATACAAATCATTAATTTTCCCAGCACCTGTTTGGCGGCTGGTGAAAATTCTCATCTTTAGTGTCCCCCGTTTTCCTCTAGGTTTCCATAGAAACAAAAGCCGGTCTCTCTTGCTGCTGTGTCCAACCACCCTTCCTGCCCCTCAGAAAAGGATTAATATTCCCAACCTGGTTTTCCTTTTTTTCCTCTGTACAGCCAATTTCCGGTTATTTTGTCTTTAATGACGAATTTGGGAATTCGAGAGGCCATCTTTGATGTAGGGAAAAAGCTTGGAATTCCGGAAATTGAATCATTTTATGACTATGTTCTTTGTACATGGCCAATTGCCCTCTTCTTGCTAAAACATGTCACTTTTCACTCTGGAGTCAAAGCATTAATGGACAAGGAGTGCCAGGAATTTTAATCGCAAACCTGGTACTGGACTGTTAGCGGGGGGGGCGGGAGTGGGCTCGAGCAGGGGAAAAATTAATTTGATCTTTCAGCCTATCTGCCTACTTGTTGATAAGATATTTTTGTATTTTTTAGTGGATTACCAGGGTTGAAAAGCCGCTTCGCGTCTTTTCAACCCTGGCCCCCGTCTAGCGTCATAATATGCTTCATTTTGCATAATTCTCGCGAATTCCGATGACAAAAAAAATGAAAATCGCCCCCCCCGTTCTTTATATAGGCTCGCGCCATTTCCGGCATATCCTAATTGATTCCTAACAAAGTGGGTGCTCCATTTTCGAACAAAAACTTAATTTTAACGTCGAAAATAGCATAATTTGCAAAATCTGATGTGTGTGCAGGCATCTCATCTCATCTTACGCATCTAATGACGTATCATACGTTGCTTAAAACCCTTTCCCTCTCGAGATATCCTCCGGACACCCTGACGGAAGTTGCATGCAAAGTGGCACACACACACACACAAACACTATTTTTTTATATATAGTAGGATGATTGCTAAAAAGTTGTAAAACTTTTTGAGTTTTAAAAATTCGTGGATTTCTATAATTCTTTAAAAACTTTTTATGTCTAAAACAGCCTAAAATGCTATAAAAAATGGTTTATGGTTGGTTATAAGGAGGTACGGGATTATGGGACCCCCGTTAACAGCCCAGTTTTGGAATCCCGGAAACTGAATCAACTTATGAATAAGGTGTTGCCCTCAAGGTCATGCTCACCCTGTTGATCATCTCACTTTTCACTTTCTAGTCAAAGCATTAATGGCGGCATTAATCGCCAAGGAATTCCAGGAATTTTAATCAAAAACGTCCTGAGTTCAGAGACATAATGGACGAAGAGCGCCTGAAATGGGAGCGAGAGAGGGCAAAAGTTAGGGATGAGTGGAGCGAGGTGAGTCGAGAGGAGTGAGGCGGAATTTGGGGAATATGCTCGCATAGAGCGCCGATTTGCTGAATTTTTGCTTGGCGAATAGTGAAGACGAGAAATCTCGATTTTTCTTGCAAGTTCCCTTAAGCTTCATAAAAAACGGGGTTAGGTTTGACAATTGGTAAAAACGCAAGCGCAAACGCAAAAATTACTGAAAAACTGTAGCTTGTAGCCTTTTTGTTTATGATTTCTACATTTTTAAAAACAAAAATGAATCCAAAATCTATACAAAACATATAGATAAATTTTTTAATGCGTAGGCGCGGAAAAATCCCGGCTCCCAGCTTTCCCTTGCCCAATCATCATTTCCGGCTTCCGCTCGGAGCCGGAAATGCCTTGAATCATCCGATTCTTTCAACATTTCAATCATATGGAAAGCCAAAGAATGGAAAATTAATGAAATAAATCGGGGATAAAATAAAATCTAAATTGAGTAACTTTAGATAGAACTAAAAGCTCAGCATGGTCATGCTCCTCAACCGGCCGATGTCAAAATGTCACTCAATCCAGTTGGTATGAAAATCCAGCATCGAAATCTTGGTTTAAAATTGTTTAGGATTGGTCTCATTTCATGGCGATTCATTCATGAATATAAAAAATGATGTATTAAGAAAGATATTGATAACGGATTATACTAGAGAAAAGGTGAGGAAGCTGAATTTTCAAAAATTCGGGTTTTTCTAGGCTCAAATCCTTGAAGATGAGAGGGCTGAGGGACCGGTGCAGGTAGAGAAACTAAATTTTAAATGCTAAAAATTACTCTAGAATAACCTTGGCGCGAGCTTTATTCGAAGTTGTGTCTGCCGGCCCGGAAATCCGGATGAACCGCTAAAAACTTCGAGATTAGTTGAAGAAAGATTGACACTTTTGGCATTAACTTTAGGTGGGGAACTAGTGACACCTTGAAAAATTATTAAAATTTAGTAAATTACTCGAATACCGTGCCTGAACACTGGAAGTTATTGTGTGAATTGTATCGGTGAGGAAAAATTGGAATTTAAATGTTATTTTTATTTAAGAAGAGCTACAAAATCCTTAACCGGAGAAAGCCAAGAATGCGCGAGGATCGGCGGTCATTGGGAAAGAATCGGATTTCAAGGTATTTTAAAGATTACTGTAGTTTTGCTACAGTACAACCTAATAGCTGCGATAGATTTTGCCTTCCATGATCTTTAAAAGCTAGTCAAATCGATAATTTACACAAATAGCCATTTAGGAGCCGACCCAAGCACTGATTTCCGGTCTGCAGGAATGCTCGGCTTAATCCAGCTGCACTTTTTCTGCACCGAATCGGTATCTGATGATATATTAAAAGAAATATTAACCTTATCACAAGATAGCGTACAGGTATTGAAATCTCAATCGCCAAATAACCTTCTCTTTTCTCTAGAATTTCCCCCTCGCCGTCGTTGGTATAAACTTCACCGCCCAAATCATTGAACGCCTGAAGAAACGAATGCTAAATGCGTAATTTTCCCATCTATTTTACAAATTACACCTTTTCAGAATCAGCAACAGCTTCGAAAGTGTTTTTCAAACAATTTCTCTCATCTATAGAGGCTGTCTTTTTGAATTCTGCAATCGCTGGCGGCTAAACAACTGCACAATTATCGATTTCCATTCGAATTTGACGGGTATGGTATTGCCATCTGCCTAAAAGTTAATTTCCTTTAGCCATCGGGCGTATGATGGACAAAGACCCGGCGTGCCTCATTACTGTCAAATATCTGCCAAAGTTTGAGCAATAAACACATATCATTCTTACCTATCTATACCTCAAGGGGAAGACACAGCCCCGATTTCCCTAGTTTCACTTTTATAAGATATTCTCGGACGCGTTCTTGTGAAGCGGAAACATGTTTTTCTAAATTTCCATAATAAAAGTCATCGTTTTCGACCCTCCCGTCGACCAATAGTTGAATTTTCAAATGTCAAACATGATAGTCGTTAAATTCTTCTAAAAAGCACGTTTTTATCTTATTTATATTTATTTTTATTGTTTTTATTTTCGTCCAAATTGAGTTTTTTCCATTTCGAGTTTGGATCCGCGCGGTGGCAGATGTCGCAGTATCGCCGTGTCACTTGGAGTGCCGCGTTGGTTAGGATGGGACACGTCAAGCCATTTTACCCCGATTTGGCGGATCATGATCCCGTTTTTGGCTCACCCAATGATTTTTTTAGTTCCTAAACTAGTTTCTGATATATTTTAACGCGTTTTTCATATGAAAATAAGATTCTACGACCTTTTTCGTGATATATAAACCATTTCCGGGCCTCTTTTTTGTGTTGAGTCAGGAATTTTAATGAAGTTCTGTTTTCAGATGATCACTTGGCTCCTCCTGTCCGCCCTTTTCCTCAGCACCAATGCCTACTTCATTCACGTGGACGCGAACGAGGAGCACTGCTTTTTCGAGAGGGTATCATCAGGTAAACATTTGAGCTTGTTGATCAAATTTTGAATTTAGGCACCAAAATGGGCTTGATGTTTGAGGTGGCCGAGGGCGGTTTCCTCGATATTGACGTCAAGGTAAATATAAAAATCTATCTTATATGGTTTTTTCTAGATTGTCGGCCCGGACAACAAGGAGATCTACAAGGGTGAGCGGGAATCTTCTGGGAAGTACAACTTTGCCGCGCATATGGATGGAGCTTACACATTCTGCTTCGGAAATCAGGTAATACAATGCCTTTTCTGCTAGGAGAGAGTCGTAGCGGTTTGAGTAAGCAAAGAAATAGCTAGAACTAGATTTCGATAGCTTTATAAGCTGCCTAGTTTTTTTCAAAACAATCAAAACGCATTCAGGGCGCTTTTTTGCAATGTGAATTCGTTAGCAAGTCATAACCGACTGGCTGAACAGAAGCTACATGCTTTGAAAGCGTTATCTAGTGCCAGATCGTTCGTTAAAGACCAACGCACGGTGAAAAAGCCTCTTCCTATCCTGGATACTTTTACCTTTTAGTCTGTCTTACTTATCTATCGTTCCAGATGTCGACGATGACGCCCAAGGCCGTTATGTTCACCATCGAAGTCAACTCCCCTCATGCCCAAGCCCCTGGAGCCGCCACTGACGCTGACGCCGGTAATAGCAAACTAGCTGTTTCAAAACTGTTCATGTTTAGTTGAAAACCAGAAGCTCGAGGAGATGGTTCAGCAGCTTTCTTCGGCCCTCACCTCCGTCAAGCACGAGCAGGAGTACATGGAAGTTCGGGAGCGCGTCCATAGGCAAAGTGCGGATTTCGGAAGTTTACGAGACGAGGCCTATAGGGTTGCGTTCATATCGTACTCGAATTGGCACAGGTATTGAGTAGACGGTGCTGATCATTCCACTGTTTTTTTAATTCACTTTGAACGTTTGGAACTCGATATTCGCCTCGATGCGAGCTAGCACAAGAAAAGAATGAGAGCAAAATCGCAAGATTCGTCCACTTTAGCTTGTAGCTTGGATCTGTCAAAAGTTTTCACGCCTGTACCAAGTTTAAAGTGTGAAAATGATCAGCAACCTCGGCTCTTTATTTGTGCCAAATTTGCGTGCGATCGGAACGCAGATCTATTCGGTCTTATTCAGTTTTCGATTCAAATTGACAGAAAGCGCTACTTTTGCTCCTTTTGCAGAAATACACAAATTGGCAGCGTTGCCTTAAAAAAATAAAAATTTTCTCTTGATAACCTTTCATTTTTAGTCAACGAAAACACGAACTCGCGAGTCGTCTACTGGGCCGCCTTCGAAGCCATCGTTCTTGTTTCAATGACGCTGGGACAGGTATAACTTTTAAGGCTTGATTGTTGAGTCCACAAAAAAAGCCATGCGTTTGTGTCCCATGATAGATGAGCTACGACGTTTGAGCAACCGCTACTTTTTCGCAAATCACGAGAAAACTGCGTTTTTTCAGAAAACAAGAAAACGCTATAGCTTTCATAGCTTTTTCAAATTCTTGATAATGTTTTATGCTAGCTCATAGCTTTTTTTAATCATAAATCATGCTCGATAGGCTGTTTATAGGCGTTTTGTGTTTTTCTTACGCGTAGAGCTAGTAAACCAGCTTCTTCGTGAAAGAAATGGGTCGCAACGGCGGAAAAACGCCTATGCGGAATTTAATTTACGATCTAGAGATTATTAGTTAGCTTAGGATGCTTTTTAAATTAGAAAAAGTAGTAAAAACAGTTATTTAGCTTTTATTCTAAGAAAGTTGCTGAAACTATGTTTTCCCGGATAAACTAAAAAGTAGCTGTTGCTAACACGACATTGCTCGCTCTCTTCACCTTACCTGATATTCAGGCTTTTATTCAGGCCTATGATACGTGAGGAGCGACTTTTGTTTAAGCAAGAGCTACTTTTTCCCACATCACGAGAAAACTGCGTTTTTTCAGAAAACAAGAAAACGCTATAAAAATGTTTTCATAGCTTTTCAAATCCTTGGGAATGCTTTATGCGAGCTAATAGGTTTTTTAAGCGTAAAGCATGCTCTGGATAGGCAATTTTTAGGTGTGTTGTATTTTTCTTACGTAGACCAGCTTCTTCATTAGATGACGAAGTCGTAACGGCTGAAAATCGCTTATCCGGACTTCCATTTGCGATCTACAGGCGATGATTTAGTTTAGGATCCTTTTTGTAATAGTAATAAGCAAAAGTTGTAAACAGTTATTTATCAGGTTTTATTCCAAAAAGTTGCTGAGACTTTGTTTTCCCGGATTTGCTAAAATCTGTTGCTCAAGCCGCGTTGCTCGTCTCTCGTGACTCCCTATATTTTCTTGAGATTCAGTTTAATTTCATTTTGCAGATCTGGTACCTCAAACGATTCTTCGAAGTGCGGACGCTCGTCTAAGCTTCCACCAAACGGGTTCGCAATACTTATTGGTAGCTGCTGTTGTATGATGTAAGATGCCCATCCTCCTCCTCCACATCCACTTCTGCTTTTCCACCCCAAATTCGCCACTGGCAATCAATCGCGTAATTTTTGCTTCGGACACCCGCTTCTGGTATTTATTTTCTCTCGATCGTTCTGCGATCTTGTCTGTGATACGACGGTGTTTTTTTATACTAATGTTATCTGGGCTATGTAATAAGGAACGGAGCGCAGAATAAGGAATAAATTTTTTTTTGAACTGTGTTTGTATTTATGTGCCTTTATAGACTACATCTTCATGCGCTATATCCAGAAAGAACTTTCTAAAATGCTTAATTTCAACGCTGATAGTTTACAACTGAATTTTTAGTGAGTTTTTCACGGCTTAAAGCCCGGTATCGAGGGTTAGGTCTAGATAAGCCTTATAGCAGGCTGAAGCTCACTTTATTGCTCATTTCAGCGGTTACTCATGCTGACAATGCTTGAACTGACCCATCCTTCTTTGGAATACCCAACCGCCTCGCCCCCGGGGCGCTGCGTTGCGGCTATTTGCCTATTTTATTTTGTTATGTCTGTGTGCGGCCCGGATGCGAAAGTGAAATCTTTCCCCGATTCGCTAGATACGACCGATTTTCTTAGCTAACTATTGTCTTGATAGATTTTTTTTCTTTGATGACTCCTTTAGTGCAAATTGGCTCCTCGTGTAACCAGTTACGCCGGTTTTCTAGTGGCGATACGGGGTCAACCGGATGGTCAGATGAGCTGAGGGCTGCAAATGGCGACCACGTTGGATGATTTGGGTTTGTTTTATTGGTTTGAAAGGTGGATTAGAAGGTCTCGAGGTAATAAGAAGTTATAGTTGTGGATTCTATTGTAGGTAGAGCTGTTTTGAAGTTTTTTTACATAATAATAAGGCTAAAATCTTGCAGATTAGAGCTAGATACCTGGTTTTTCGTTTTAGACGAGGTTTCGATAGTTTTAGAAGCTGTAGGTGAGCTAATAAATATGTGGTCTTATGAATTAAGTTAGAATTTTCAAAATCGGCGACGGCAAGAGTTGGTTAGTGTTTTTATTAACTTCTACTGGGGGTAAAAACTTGTAAAAGCGTTAAATTTATTGTTTTTCCTTTTAAGTTATATTTTAGTAGTTTTAAAAGCTGTAGATGAGCTAATTAAAGCTAAAGGCAAACGCGTTTAGTTAGAATTTTAAAAAATTGCAACAGAAAGGCTTTATTTACGTTTTTTAACCTGTAATGGTTGTGAAATTGGGCAGTTTACAGCTAGATAATTTGTGCTTAAGGTTTAGACGATACTTTTAATAGTTTTACTAAGTATAAAAAGTTAGTCTAGGTTTATGAAGCTTATAGAAAGTAAAGGAACTGAGAATTTGAGAATTTCCAAGCCACCTGGCCGGCTGATAAACGAAAAAAGGAAAACAGCTGGAGTTTCGCCCTCCCCGATCTGACACAAGTCTCAAGGCGATGCCTTTTCAAATTTTTGGGGTTTGACAGGGTTTGGGGAGAAAGTGAGGGCAGGCGGATAGGGGTAGAGCCGATGGAGAAGGAGCATGTGTGGAGTTTCCTCCCCTAGCAGAGGAGCTGTGTTTGTATGTATGTCTCTGTCTTTCTATCCATCCCTCAGCTCCCTTTTTTCCACTTTTTGCCGGTTCGCCCACCGGCTGTGTAGGGATGGCAGAGCAGGGTTTGGCCACTCCTCCTCGTCGTATCGATTGATTCGATGGGGCCCAAAAGGTTTTTGATTGCACACACTGTGCCCCCAACTGCTGCTGCTTTTTTTTAGTGGAGGCGGCGGGACTGGGGGCCCTTATCCCTTTTGGCTTCTCCTTTTCGACCCTTCTAACTCCACCCTCGTATCGGCAAACGTTTTCCCAGGGGTTTGCAGGTTGTCTAGATGCAAATTTTTGGGGGTGGAAGGCATCTCGTGCTCAGCTGTTGCGGGGAGATTTTCATTGTAATGTGTCGTTCCGAGGGATCTTCTTTCATGTTTCCGGCATGTAATCTCGTTTCATTTTATGTTTGTGGCTATTTGAGGGGATTCAGCATTGGTTTTGGAGCTTTATAATGGTTGATAGTTACTAGGACGTAAAATTTACGTTTTTCGTTCTTTTTTTGAGCGCGGTTTTGTGAGGTTTTCCAATAAAAAACGGGTGTTTCAAGTGGTTTAGAGCTTTCTCAGCCTAACTAAAGTTTTTCTAGACCACGCAGCTTCAATCTTCTTCTATTTTCTCTTATTATAAAATCGCAATTTCTAATTTTTCGATTTTTGAGTTATTTTGGGCCTTTTTTAACCAAGAAACTGGTGTTTTGAAGCGCGAACCAAGTTTTCTAGACCCCAAAAATTGGTTTTCCAGCTTTTTCTAAAATTGATTACTTTTATGGCTACCAGAATATCATTATTTCAAATTTTTAGATTTTTCGTTATTTTGAACCATTTTTAAGAACTAGATTGGTGTTTTTAAGCAATTTAAATTATTCGGCGCGTTTTAAAAGTTGTTCTAGAACACAGAATTTTGAATTTCTTCCAGTCTACTCTATTTTCCGCAATTTTTTTCCACGATTCGCCTCCAAATCCCGTTTTTTCGGACTTCCAAAAAGCAACACGCAGCCCCCAAGTGCCTTCACGTGGGGGGTCCCGCCGCGATTCTTTTGTGGCCCTCCCCAGTTAGATTAGACAAATACTTGGTCTTAGGGGGGTCGAGGAGGGGACAAGCGTGTCTTCCCCCCACCCAAATTATTTGTTCTACGTCAATTTTTTCGGGCCCTCCCTTGCCGCATCCATGCTTATTCCAGCCTTTGCTACACTCTCATCCACATACCTGCATAATTTTTGGTTCTTTTGCATTATCGGGGGGAAGGGATTTGTTTTTATAAGTGTAGAAATGTCTATTAACCCAACAGGAAGTATTGCATCAGGATTTTTCAGTCAAATATAACTTTGCTTCAATCGCAAAAACAGTCTAACGGCTTAAAAATTTTTTTCAAGTTGGATCAGAAATCGAGATTTTTGCATTTTTCAAAATTTGTAAAGTTTTTAGCGTTTAGGAATTGAAATAATCGTTTACAAACAGGCCCACTATTTATACTTGAAAAATGGGATTATAAGAAAAAGTCGGTCCCCTGAATAATTTGAAAGAACCTATTTTTATTCTTTATTAACTAAATTTTAATAAGCTATTTTTATTACGGTTAATCTCGCCTTATAAATAATTTATATATTTTTTTATCTCTAAAATTAGACTTGGCATAATGCCGGGCGACGACAAATTCGCCGAGGCCGTCCGCCCAGCGTTAGGTAAATTGGAAATTCGGGTGGAATTTACTAAAATTTGCATCATTCATAACTTAACCGAGTTAAAAAATGGCGTTCCAATAATAATTAAATAACAATAAAATCGATGATGCGGTGAACATCTAACAAAATAACTATTAAATAAAATAATTACAAATTAGCATAATGTCGATTTTAGAAGCCCTGCTCTCGGATCTGCAGCACACTACCGAGGTTTTGCGGCGGGCAAATTTGAGTGATAGGTATGTTAATTTAATTTTTATGATTAAAAGAAAGGTTTTAGTTTTAGATTAATTTAGATTTTAATGAAATTGTTTAATCCAGTTTCAAAGTAGTATTTGAAATTCTTTTAGGTATGGCGGCTCTCAGGACATCGAACCCATCTACCAGGAACAGCAGAGAAGGTATAAAAATACTATAAAAGTTGAATTTTAGAATAATTTCCCCTCTCCCCCTCCTGATACATTTTTATTAACTGAGCATGTGCTAACCATTTAGGGATGAACCCTCGAATAGTTTGAGCCCGGGCCCGTCGAGCGCCAATCGAAACTCGGAGCCGCGGCTCCGATTCTCCCCAAACACCTCGGTGCACACTTACTCGGATGCTGAGCGGATTTCGTATGCCGGTGAATAATCAAAAATAACATTATTATTATTATTAATGGTTTTATTTTAAAGGGACTTGGAAGGCAGAACTTAGCAAAAGTTTGAGTCGTAAATTCCGTTGTTGGTTTTCGGTTTTCTGGAAAATTTTAAATTCAGGATTCTGCCTTTAAGGTTTCTTTAACTACTTAACAATTTTTCCCTATTTTTCTGGAATGCAAATTTGAAAATAACTTTTTAAGGGACTGTTGAAGGCAAATCTATGGCCTGAATTATGCTCAGTTTTTGGTAAAAAGGCTTGGAAGCCATTCCAAATTCTGTGTTTTAAATTTAGCTTTTTAATTTGTTTGCTGAATTTCATTTAAGGGACCATTGAAGGTAAAGCTACAGCCCGAGCTCCTTGATTTTTCCTCCAGGGACCTTTAGGCGACTGGGAAGTCATTTAAAAAATTCGGTTTTTCATTTTAACTCATAATTTGGATTTCGAGTCTCTTTAAAAATTTTCTGAACATTTAATGAGCCTTAATTCTAATTTTAACTGGGGTTTGAAGTGTTTACTAATCTAAAAACACAACACTGGCATGTAGACGTCGATTCGGACTACGCGAACGCGTCCCCCCACCCGTCGTCGCCGAACCCGCAGAAAGATCGCATCGCCCGGCCGGCAGTGCAAACCCTCCTCTCCCAGCTCGACGACGCATGGTAAAACATATTTTGGTTATCACTCAAATTCGTTAAAAAGTTTATTATTGAAATACAGTAGGCCATAGTAGTCTTCTTGAAAATAGAGGTTTCTAGCGTTAAAAATCTTCAAATCAGCTAATTTTTCTGTAGTTTGGAGCTCGTAGCGGCTTCTAAGAAAAAGATAAAAAGTCTGAAGTCTGAATTTTATAGTCTGAACTTCGATCCTAAGGTTTGTTAAAGGGACTAGGAAGGCAAATCCACAGTTGGCCGGTTGCCAAAAATTGCCTGATATGGATTTTGCACTTGCTTGTCCCTTTAACACCAAAAATTTGTGTTTCATGGATTCCGGAAGTGGCTACAAACTCCAAAACCCTAAATATTTGTAATTTTTCTATTTTTGTAATGTACAAAAATATCTAAGAGCCTAGCGGAATACTGTAGAAATAATTTAATGACGTTTTTCGGGCTGCTTCTTCTAATTTCTAGCTATTTTTCTTTCTTTACTTCTTCTATCTAATCCCCAGCCTCCTAACATTTTCCCTGGAATTCCTTTGGACGAGTGCCAAACCCTGAGACATGAGTGGAATGGCTGTGTTTCTACCCCCAGTTTTCGGCACTCACTTTTCCGTTCTGCTCCGTTTTTCCGGTCCCTAAACCTCCCTAAACCCCTTAAAAATCGATCGATCAATTCCGGCGGCTTCATCTCGTTTTGCCCAATCTTTTTCCGCGTTTTCCGAGGCAATCCACCCCCCGGAAAGTTTGCAGAGGGGGTCAGAAGGGATGGCTGAGATGGGGGGAGAGGGCTACGGGCCACTCAAAGGGCCCAACCTCATCCCCCCCTGCCATTCCACAACGCTCCACTCCTCCGTACGATCCCATCGGCAACGATTCTAGTCCCTTAAAACTAATATTCATCTAAAAAAAACCCTAATCATCCGCCCCCAAAAAGATGATGTACGAATTACAACAACGTTTCGGTGATTACAGCTCGAAGCAGAACCTCGGCGCCAACTCCTACAACGATGTGGTGGGTTTTTTCTTGGTTTTTTGAAATCTGCAATTAATCTCCTCCAGCTTTCCCCCTGCTTAAACTTTATCAAAACCGCTTTTCTTACTGTCCTTTATGCTAAGGTTTAAAAGTTGGGTTTAGAGCTTGAAAAGTAAAAACAAAAAAAAAAGGTTTTTTTAAGTTCTAAAACTTGTAAAACCTCGTTTTTAATTAAATTATCTTATTTTAAGGCTTTTAAAGGAAGATAGGTCACAAGAAAAACTTTTTAAAAGGGCAATAATATGGATTTTGCAGCGCGCAACCAATTTTACGCGGTTGAAATACGTTACGTTATGAAAATACGTAGCATGTGCTTCGCGTATGCGTGGCGTTTGCGTAGCGTGTGCGTAACGGGTGCGTAGCGTGTCGTGTCGCGTGTGCGTAGCGCGTGCCTAGCGTTTCGCGTCGCGCAGGCGTACGGTGTCGCGTCCGTAAATCCATAACCTGTCAACCGACGACTTGCCTTGTCTCCTTTAAAGAATACAAATATATGGATTTCTACTCGTAGCTCCGTTAGAAGCTTGGCGTGTCGCGTAGCGTCTGCATAACGGGTGCGTAGCGCTTGCGTCGCATGTCGCGTCCGTGAATCCATAATCAGAAAATCGAAAACTTGTCTTATCAGTTCCTTTAAACCGTGAAAAAGTTATGGATTTCTACTTCTAGGTCCCTTTAAACCCTAAAAACCAAATTTCGCTATTTTTAGCAACTTCTAGGAACCACATATGTTTATTTATCAAATACCTCGACCCGCCAAAAATCCGGTGTTTCGATTCCGGGGGCTTAAAAATGTCAAGTCCACACGCGCACACGCAGCAGAAGCAGCGTAATCTTCGCGGGGCCAAAAGCAGGGGGCGTGCAAACAGTGCGGGTGGCCTCCAGCGCCCACACGCCTATTGCCAGCTCTCTCTCTCTCTCTCTCTCTCTCTCTCGCTTCATCATCGCTTCTTCCGTTTACAGTTTTCATCTGGAAACATTTTTTGCGTTTTCAGCGCCGCTCCCCTTCTCAGGATCCGTCGAACGTCAATTCGATGATTGGAACGATGAGATCGGATTACTCGGCTCAGGTGAGTAATTTAAAGAACTTTTAAAGGCACCGAGAAGCCAAATACGCTATGGATTTTAGCATGGAGTCAACACAATCCCGAAAGGAGACTGTGCCGGCTGCACGAAGCCCATCATCGGCCAGGTGGTGATCGCTCTCGGCAGAATGTGGCATCCGGAGCACTTCAACTGCTGCGAGTGCAACGATGAGCTCGGGCATAGGTTGGTTTTGTTGAAGTTTGTAGTTTGCAATCTGGATTACTGGAGAACCAGCTTTTAAAGGAACCTGGAAGCATAATTTGGCACAAACACCTATTTTCCAAGGTGTCACACTCCCTTTAAAAGGCGGAATTTGAAAAATTGACTTTTCCATGAGCTTTGAAAATGCATACCTGATCTTAAGGCAGTATAAGGTAAATAACTCGCTGCCACGATTTTAAAAAGAGCTGGTAAACTTCATTTTCTCGAAATTTCCTGACTTTCGCTTGTCACGTCCCCTTTAGGAGTCTGAAACCCTTCAAAACCACTTCCCAGCTCGATTCAAGCTACTTACTTAAATTACAAAGTGCAAAAACTTGAGGAAACTGGGCATACTCAGGAGCAGGACTTCGAAAGAGCCGGAAATCTTAAGTTTGACCCAAAATTTGGTTGTTAGAAGTGTCGTGCTCCCTTTAAAAGAACGAAACGATCGAAATTGATTTTTAACGAGCCTTTAAACGTTGAAAAACCATATTTCTGCAATAATTGATTTAATTTAATATACTAAATTTACCCTTTAATTCCAGGAATTTCTTCGAGCGCAACGGCAAGGCCTACTGCGAGGACGACTACCACAACGCCTTCTCCCCCCGCTGCTTCCAGTGCAATCAGGCCATCCGTGATGTGAGATTCAAATACTCTAAAAATATTTAAATTTGGTACCTTAACTTTAAAATGGCAAATTTAATTAGATTTTAATACTGTATTTATTGCAGCGCTGCGTGACGGCGATGGGCAAGAATTTCCATATGCAGTGCTTCGTCTGCGTCGAGTGTGGGCGTGAATTTGGGGATGAGGGCTTCCATGAGAGGGTAGGTGGCAGGAAATGGAGGGCAAGATCTAGAATTTTTTGCCAACCGGTGTATTAAGGAAAACAGCGTAATTCCCTAAAAAAATCTTCCCGTCACTCTCCCTTTAAAGTTACAACTCTTCTAGGACGGCCGCGCATACTGCCGCCGTGACTTCTTCCGCCTGTTCGCCCCCAAGTGCAACGGTTGCCAGGTAAAATTTAGGATTTTTTTAAGCAATTTTTATAAAATAAATAATGTCTATATTTTATTACCGATTTACTTATTGATTATTAAATTTACTTTAGAACCCAATCACGAACAACTTCATCACGGCTCTCGGCACCCACTGGCATCCCGACTGCTTCGTCTGCCAGGTACAATCTTCGCGTAATTTGTCCTGTATCGTACTGTAGTGTATCTTCCCGTACTGTAACGTACGCTAACGTACCATAGTGTTGCTAGATATACCGTATTGCAACGTACTGTTGCTTCTTCCCGCGTCCTGGAACTTAGCGTAGCGTTGCGTACTCTTACGTAGGCCTGGGTATGCGTACTAAAGCGTACCGTCGCGTACTATAGGATACTTGACGTACTCTAGCGTACCTTTGCGTGCGTAAACTAGAGTATTGTCGCGTACTATGGCGTTTCGTAGCGTAGGCTTGAGTACCCGTTCCGTATCGTAACGGACTGTAACTGCCAGTCTGATGTCTAGAGCATGGATTAGTTCTATAACTATCCCTTAATGTCAACTTAACCTATATTTGTGGCGTGTTCAGATGTGCGGAACGAATTTCGACGCGGGCAGCTTCTTTGACCTGCAAGGAGTGCCACTGTGCGAGCAGCACTACCACGAGAAGAGGGGCAGCTTGTGCTCTGTTTGTCGTCAGCCCATTAGGTTTGTAAATCGGGAATTGTCGTATTTAAATTATATAGCATCTAAGTTACTTAAATTCAAAAAATGGGATGTATCTAAAATTTTTTTAAAAGCCTTAAATTAGTGTTCTAACTATACGGAAAAATTCTTAAATATTTTAATTCCTTTTTTGTCCAGTCCATTCCATGTCTTAACTAATTACATCTTCCAGCGGCCGTTGCGTCTCAGCAATGGGCCTCAAATTCCACCCTGAACACTTCCGGTGCTCATTCTGCGCCCATCAGCTCACCAAGGGCACCTTCAAAGAGGTCAACCGAAAGCCCTACTGCCACAAATGCTACAACAACACCCATGCCCTCACGTAAAATTTACGCATGCTAATTTCCAACCCAACCCCTTTCATTTTTCTCTAATTTTTCTCTAATTTTTATGTACCAATTAAAGCCTGTATTTTCATTGTTTTTCGATCATTTCTAGTGCCTTTAAAAACACCAAAAACGATTTGAAAATGTGTTTTTATGGATTTAATTGCCTGAGTTGTGAACTTAAAAAGTTGAATTTTTCACTTACCATATACGTCCACTTATATACTTTGAATCCACTTTCCCCTTGCTCATTTTAATGTTTTTACCGAATCGAGAAAATAAGTGTCGCTAGTGAATAAATTTTATATGTTGCATGGATTGAAATTAGCATATTTATATATTTTTACAAGTTGCAAAATATGCCAAATTAGGGCGACGATCACTTCTCGGCCCTCTGCCCGTTCGCTGTCACGTATTTTGAGGAGGAAGAAGCCTAAAAAATATTCTTCAATTTTTGCGACTCTATTTTTATTAAATTTCTAAATTTCCGGTGATGCATACTGTAAAGATCAAAAATTTACAAAAATACTGCCATTCTAAATTTTTTAAATTGTCCATTTTTTTAATTTTCGATTTTTCCGCATTTTTACACTCAATTTCTTTCAATCTGAATTTTTGTGGCGTTCTGAGTTTTTAATAAAATGCAAACTACAAAATTTTTTTCAAATGTATTTATTTATTTTTCCATTTTACCGGTGCGCGGCAAGATGCAAATCACACAAAAAACAAAACTGAATACAAGAAAAATCCAAAAAAAAATGCAAATTTAAAACTTCAAAGTCATAATTGAGAACACGGGATGATTGAGATGTGTCACGGGAGATGTCATGCAAATATGCAAACTGCAAAAATGGGCAAAAACTTGTAAAATCCAAAAATACAGAAACTAACATAGGCAAAAGTAGAAGAGACTCGGAATCTCACAGGTCAAGAAAATAAACATCAAAAGATTCGAGATTTTTAAAAAAATATGCAAATTCCAGGGGTATGCAAATGTGTTGAGCAACCGTTTCTTGGGGTACTGCAGCGAACAGGGGCGTACAGTAGCGTACTGGACCCAATTTTGTAGGTGGTCTAGTCAAAAAAATTACAAATGTGAAAAACATTCGGGGGATTTGAGGATAGTGTGCAAATCACAAAATGCAGAGTGGCTTCAAAAAAAAGAGAAAAATGAAATTGAGATGTCGCGTAAAAATGGGATATTTTGCATATGGGAAAGGGTAGATTTGGCTGGGCCTTTTAAGGGAAATTCGAATTTGAATACGAAAAATGGTAAAATGGGCATAAAATCTATGAATCCATGAATTCACGTTTGAAATTCATGGATTGATGGGGCTGGAAGATGGAGTTTGGCATGGTGACGATTGGGGCATCTTGAATGGAGATGAGGCATTGGAAGACCGACTAAAAATATGGATTAAAATTTGTAATTCGCATCAAAGACAAATTTAATGTATTTTAAATATAAACTAGGTATTTCATAATTTTTTTTATTTTGCATGGTATAGTATCGAAAAACACGAAACTTTTAATAAAGAGCAATAAATATCTACAAATAATTTTTTTTGGCGTTTGTTTGCATATGTAATTTTTGAATATTTTTATCCCAAAGTTAAGCTAAAAACACAAACCTGAACCCCACGCGGCATCGGGAAGCCCTGGCGCATACAAGTGGTCAGCATGTCCAATCCGACTCGGAAGATACAGTCGAATTTCTCGACCTTGAAAAATCGAAATTTAATTTATGTTAATTTTTCTATACCTGTTGAACAACCTTCGCCAATTTCCCGGGCATGTTGATGTTGGCACAGTGGTCCTTGAGCGCATTAATGATGGTGCTTTGGGTCTTGTCGACTTGGGCTTTATTGATGAAGCCCATGGTGTTGGAATCTGGAAAAAATGCGTAAAAAACAGTATAAAGCTTGGTTCCGGCTTGGCTTAGGTTTAGGCTTGGGCTTAGGCTCAACTCCCTCCTACTCGTTTTGATCCCAGATTTCAAATTTAAGTACCAAAAACGGCGCCTTTGGTCCGAAATTACATACCGTAATTAAATGCCGTAATTACAGGCCTTGAAAATGCCATTTTGCGGGGGTTTTTAGCGATGTAAAACACCTACCGTCATTGCAGACGAGCAGCTGCAGCGAGAGGAGGGCGCTGAAGCTCAGCGGGTCCCACTCGACTTCGCTTTGGAAGCTGGCCCATTCTCGCATTAATGTCTAAATAAAATATAAATTAATAGTAACGAAATAGCAATATTGATATAGAAAATATTGCTTCAGAAATTAGCGCTTAAAAAGTAGAAAAACTTACATGAAAATAGCCCGCAAGTGGGGCTGGGACATTTGCGATAGGGATTCGTTCTCCAGACTCAAAGACGAGCTCATTTTCGGTACTTCTAAAAATGGAAATATATTTTATATAGCTTTATAGCTATATTTTTTAGTAATAATTTTCCTATCGCGATTTTCGCATCATTTCCGGCCCTCCCCATTCCTCCCAATCCAAAGTCGAAAGTGTCAGCCCTTTCCCCCGCTCCAGTATGTAGACATTTCCTATATGATGCTTGCAGCTAGATAAATAACACGCCCCCCTATCCTCCTGCCATGTGACCTTCCAGCCCCTCCCATTCAAATGGCAAACAGTTGCCGCGCGGAATTTTTCAGAATTTTGGTTTCAGGGAGAAAAACAAAAAAACTAACCGCATCACGATTTTCGTGGCTGCAATCGGGAAAAACGATCGGTGGATCATGAGGGAAAGATCGTGCTTGCCGATTTCGTTGAGGTATGGTACCCGCTGGGTGAAGCGCTCGAGGGAGAGGAATTCGAGCTCAAGCAGTTGGAGCATTTGGGGGATGGTCGGGTGTTCCTGTAACGGAAAAATCGGTTTAAATTGAAGCAAGCTCGAAAAAGTCTAAAAACTGTCTTAAAATATATAAATTTTTATAAAATTTCAAGTTGTTGCTCCAAATAGGCCTGGAGCAACCCCAAAAACTACTTTAAAACGTACAATTTTCGCAAATTTAAGCTTGAAAATCAAAAATCAGATTGTGTAAGAGCTAAAAAATTGAGTACGACTCACAATTTTTACGCTGTTCTGCTTGACCTCCTTCGACATGTCGAACGCTTTCATGAGGATTGATAGAAGCGGAAGTGCAGGAGATGGAGGGCCGTCCGAAGCGATGGTTTTCGTTTTTGAGGATAATCGCCCTCGCCGGCCAGCCAAAGACCCGTTCCGTACGACTAAAAAACATAATAAACATCATCTTAAGGCAAGAACAGCTTTTTATGGACCTAAAACTCATGCTCATTAATTGAAACTCACTCTCTTTCACCATGCCAACCGACAAACACTTCTGATATCGACAGTACTGGCATCTGGAGCGGTACCGCTTGTCGATGAGGCAATTCTTATTTCCGGAACAGACGTATTTCGCCTTTTTCTGGACTGTCCTCTAGAAACCGGATCAGCTACAGTAATCTAGAGGTATCAACGTACCTTAAAGAATCCCTTGCAGCCTTCACAAGTTCGTGCTCCATAGTGGAAGCAGATGGCTCGATCATCGCATACGACACACCGTTTGTCCTCTTCATCTTGGATAGAGGAGGTGGATTCGTTTTTGATGAGGCTAAAAATAGAGGGTAAATCGAGTTAAGCTACTTTATATAGATGCTCAACGATGTATTTTTCCAAAAGCTCGTGCTCGAAAAAGCTCGCTCTCAAACCCACCCTAACCTGAATACTTGTGATGGTCCATATTGATAACCGGGGCTTGTGGATTGGATTGGAGTTGAGGCAGTTGTGTGGGAGCTTGGAGTTGAGCTAAAAAATGCATAATTTAAATCTGAAAAAACTATATTTACCTGATAGTTCCATGACTGCCCCTCCTCGCGTCGAGTTGAGCAAATGGACTCTGGGGAGGCTGACCGAACAGCCCTTGGTAGGGAGCAAGACCGGCGGCCGGGGGCGGCATCGGGAAGTCGCATTGTTGGAACGGCGACGGCAAAGAGTTCAGCTGGCTAAAACCAGGGGATTTCTAGGTTTAAAGGGGTTGTGAAGGATGTTTTCCTGTGGCTTTTCGAACGCAACGAGCGAATTACCGTAGTTTAGGATTTTTTAAGGTACCGTAGGCCAAATACCGTACCCAAAACCTGCCAAAAAACCCACTACGCCAACGGGACCATCATGATTTCAGAACCGGAAGTAGTAGTGAGTGAAACTTTTGAAAACTGAGCCCAAATCTGCTAATTTTGCCCCTCCCACTTGTAGGTCTCGGCCAAAACGTGTGGGTGGATGATGGGAGGGGCTTTATAATTGGCACCTCATGCTCCTCATTCCTTAACTAAAGGCCAACATAGGGAAATTGTCAGCCTCGTCAACCCTATAATCACTTGAGGGGAGGGGCAATCATGGAGTGGGACTCCCCCCGTCTCTGCCGCCCACTTGGGCAGACCCAACTTAAACTCAAACCCCCTTCTCGCTGGGTGCGTAGTATATAATTTGCGGGGTGTAATTTGGTATGGATAGTGATGTAAATTGGATGACATCAAGTGTTATTGTTAAATTTGAGTTTTAGGGGCTTAAAAATCATTTAAAAATGGATTTTGAAACTACGTCTGTGTAATGACTGTGTAATTTGACGAAAATCATTCCTTAACAAAACATAGATTAAGCGTTACACAGTTCGAAAAGTTAAAAAATTAACTTTTAGATTGAAAAATTAGTTTCTAAAATATCAAAAATAATTTTTCTATAAAATGATTGCGTTTTTGCACGGTATGCTTTTGTGTAATAGTTTGTAGATGAACTGACATCAAAATACGGCTAATTTAAATTGTGAGACGACAAAATCGAGATTTCTAGAGTAAAAATTGAATTTTTACATTTTTAATTTTAATAATTAAGCTTTTTCCGATGTTTACCCAAGTATCGGCAACGGCGGATTTGCAAAAAGCGCCAACAATATCTTTGGATTATTAATCAACAGCATATTATAGCCGACCGTTTTTGGAGAAATAAAGCCTCGTGAAATTCAGGATCGGCGGGGGGGGGCTTTATTTGTTAGCTCAGATGCGCTTCTCAATTCATTCCCATAAGGCCTTTCTCTCTCTCTCTCTCTCTCTCTCTCTCTCTCTCTCTCTCTCTCTCTCGCGCGCTCTCTCTCTCTCTCGCTCTCTCTCCCTATGATGTCTGAATTGTCGGCATCAGGACCATTTTTGTGCTCAGCTAAGCGGGGCTGTGGGGCCTTTCATGGTTTTTTGGGTCTCGCCGGATTTCCCCGATCAAATATAGCCGCAGGAAACGGAATTTGGGGTGTGGGAACGATTGGCTACAAAATGGAATGGGTTGAATGGGAAAATTGTTTAATTATGAATTTTAAAAGGTGTGAAAAGGCTTGTTTCATTCTAAGAAAATTTGGGTTTTAGATAGGTGTAAAACGTATTAAAAATAAAGTTTTCTGCTGTCTATGTCCCTTTAAAACAGTTTCAAGTCGTCTAAAAAAACTAAAAACTTATATACAGGGGTGTAAATAGGTGTAAAAAGCACTTTCAAAGCTCTGGCCAGCCGGAATTTTATGGTGCAAATTAGTGTAAAAAGTACTAAAACCCAATTTTTCGATTTTTTTTGCTGGCACTGTCCCTTTAAGAAATTTTAAGTCATCGAAAAGTTAAAATCATTCTTCACGGCTGTGAATAGATATAAAAGGTACTACCACCCAATTTTTACCCTTTAAAACCACATTGCCAAACTTACTTGAAAAACGGATGCCCATGGTATTGCGGCAAATAGCCCTGGGGGCTGAACGGAAATGCCGAAGGGGCAACCGGCTCTGTTTTTATCTAAAAAGCATTTTTCGAAACCGGGAACTCAAAATCCCACCTGGACCGGCATCTTCCGGTCGATGGGCGACGTATGGGGCGGTGTCGCGGAATCGGGCTAAAAACCGGAAAATTAAACCATAATTAAATTCAACTTCCGGGCCATTACGGGGGCCATTTTTGTGCTCTTAAAATTTATCCTTTTGTGGCCCATTATTTTTCGTAATTTTTCATTATTGCCTGCGTCACGCAATTGCACAATTAATGCCCATTTTTTTGTAAAGGGATGATTAGCCATATCCCAACGCTTTTGTCTAAAAAATGCGTTATATTTGTTTACCGATATAGGGGCTCCATCTGGGTCTGGCCCTCCCGATGGGTAATAACTACGTAACACGCCTATGCCGTCGATAGTACGGACGCGGAAAATTTAGTCCCACTAATCCGGGCAGAACGTCGTCATTAGAATGGCTTCTGGGTTAATTTTGGGTTGGTGGTGAGGTGGCAAAAAATCGGAGAACATGATGTAAATTATGTAAAATATTAAAGTTAATTTTCTGAAGTTATATGACTACTTAAACCTGCTAAAAATGCAAATCATCAAAAATTAAACATTTTTAAAGCGTATTTAACTGGTTAAATTTGTTAAAAACGTTAAAAATCACAAATTTAAGTTTTTTAGTATATAAATATATATCTTAATGTAAATAAATTTTTTAATAAATTTAATATTTTCAATTTAAATTTAAATAATTTAAACCCAAAAATTACCGGCGGAATATTGTCGAGCATCGGGAAGAAACCGGGATTTAAATGGTCATTTGGTGGCTGTCCATCCACTTGGGAGGCGTGCTAAAAACAGAATTTAGAATATGCTAATTTGCATATTTCCATTTTTTATGTATTTAACTATCTATTTTAGGTAATCCCCTGTATTATCCGTAATTATGGTCTTAATTACCGTATAAAATACTCATAAATTAATCTAGTATTATTATTTCTCACCCAAAAGTTGAAGAAATTTTTCTGGTAGCTGGTAAAAATATCGTAGTCCATCTGTAACCCCTGCAAATTGCGGAGCTGAACAAGGATTTCGAGGAGGACAGCATTTTCCAAGGCGGTATTAGGGCGAATATCCATTATATTGTTTAGGAGTTTTGGAATTAAAATTGGAAATTTCGGCGTTTAGAAGTAGCAGAATTTCGAAACGTCGAGCTCACAGAGCTTTTGCAATATTTCCAGGAGAATGAGAAATATGTTGTTTTGGGGGGAGGAAAAGCCTGGTTGGGTGGGTGGACCGGATGAGAGCGGAAATTGTAGAGATCTCAGGGAATATCCGTTTTGTGAGAATGGAGAGCCACCGCGTAGGTAGGGGGGAACGCTCCAAATCTTTTAATCCAGAGTTCTCGAGCCGCGTTTCCGCCTAGTCCAACTTTTTTCTATTTTTATTTTTTGGGAAGACCGTTCCGGGACCCCGGCGCGAGAACGGCTCGAAATCCGGGGGATGATTCAGTATTGGATTAACTCCTCAGGATGCGAGAATCGTAACTTTAGAGGGATTTTTGGGTTTTAAAGGGATTTGGAAGGCAGAAATCTATAGTCTAAAGAATTCAGAAAATGCTAAATTGACTATCGTAAGCCGTGCAGAATTGAAAAGTGGAATTGGTCTTTGAACAAGCGTTTTTCAGATCTTCCAATTGCCAAACCCAATTTCCGAATTCAATTTGCTTTCCGAGAATCGGAAAGGAGTCCATAAATCGAAAAATTTTACGGAATAAAAATCTATAAAATATGGGGTTCTGGGCTTGTCAACCCCTTTAAAAGACCCAGAAATATTTACATGCAAAAATCAGAACTGAACACTAAAAAGCTTCACTTATCAATCAGGCCAAACGGCAAAAATCAAGTTTTGGGTAGTTTTAAATATTTAAGATAAAGATAAGCTCAGAATATATAGAATTCCACACTTGTCAATCCCTTTAAAATGCCAGGAATCGCGCCAATAGTCAAAAACCAAAAATCCATGGCTGTAAAACGCGACTGATGGCCGAAGACTGCTGACTGAGCCAAGGATGGCTAAATTCTACTCGAGGTCTGGGCCCGGATAATCCCGAAAAAGTCACAATCGCGCTACTAGGCTCCTCATGAGAAGATGAAAAGGAAAGAAGGTCATCTGATCCGAAAAATCAGGGCCCGGGCCCCCGAAATGGCAGGATAGGGATTTAGGGCCCGGTATTAGATCATTCGGGCCGGGCAATAATCCCGTTCTGACGAGCTTCTACTAGCGTTTTTCGGCGGGTTTTACGTCGTTTTCTAGTGATTTTGGGTGTTCTAAATCGTTAGTACTAACTCAGCACTAGGTCTTGACGTCACAAAAGAAGCAATATTTACTATTAGATGGATTGCCTGGAATTAAAAATATGGCAGAGCGCCAAAAATGACGGTTTTTAAGGTTGGTACAGATGACTAAGAGCTTAAAAAGGCGTTTAAGGTATTTAAAAACATTTAAAAATGGCAGACTCTAGCGAGGAGCAAGAGGGGGTGGCAACAAGATCGGGGAGGCGGAGCCTGGCGGAACCGCTCGGGTGGCTACCGTAATCCGAGCACGGGTGCCTGGGTTGGGCAGGCCGGTTGGGAAGGGCAGGTGGAAAATAGTCATAAAATTATTGTAGGGTGATTTATGCCCAAAAATGGCTTTTGAGGTGTGTTATTATGATTTTGAAGGAGCATAAACTGGATCTAATTTTTTAGAATTTTTTGGGATATAAGTAGTTGAGAAATCACATAAAAACATCTAAAAATGTAGGCAACTTTAGAAAAACTTTTAGAAGCTGATAGACATCTAAAAATAATTTTAAAAATGGTTTCAATAACCTTTACTGCACTAACTTTGATTTTTATGGTATGCTAACAACAGCTAAAAACAAAAATTGGCTCGCCTTGATTTTCCAAATTTTTTCGAAATTAAATTTAGCAGAATTCAAATAAAAGCGCTAAAAATATAGCTCTATCAATTTTTAGCAAATTTAAATCCAGCAGAATCCAAATCAGCCAGAAAATAGACTGTAGAAATGAAAGACAACTAATAACGCTCTTCGGACCCAATGACAAAATGGACAAAAAAAATGATAATACCCCCCCCCCCCAACTAAATGCCAAAAAGGATTTCCCTCGATAAACCCCAGAGGATAAACCGCGCCCCCAGCTACCGTACCCCTCGCTGAAAATGGCAAAGTTGCCTCCAGCCCCTGTACTTGAGAGATTCGCGTTGCCAACCCCGTGGGCTAGACCCTAAAAAGCGCTTTCTCAGCCCTCCCAATCGGATAGGTCAACCCCCCAAATGATTCATCAACACTCAGCAGCAGCCCCCTTCTAGCCACCAACCACCCGTTTCCCTTCCTTTTTTTGGTTGTTGCCAATGTTAGGGAAGGGACAGACGACTCCCGTACGCTTTTTCCTATTGACACGCGGGTTCCGGTAGTGGAAAAAGCGGCGCGGAGCATGGTTAGGTTCCGGCCGTTGCCGAGGTACGGTAATAGCGGAGTTAAAGGGATCGGGAGGGCAAAATATGACCGAATTCCAAGTTGCAATGTGTACAAAAATCTGTACACTCATTCTCACTATATTTTGAGATTTAACAGACGTCAAATATAAGCAGGCATATTTTCTTGTAAAATCTATAAGATTTCCGATTTCGCTGATTTTAAAATCGAATGAATATATTTTCAAAGGCGCCTGCAATGTAAAAGCAACTTTTCCAACCAAATATATAAGATTCCTGACTTCACTAGGCCTTTAAAATCGAAATACTTGATTCTTTAAACACTACAGCAGTGCAAAACCGATTTATTTTTTAGCGAAATATATAGTTTCTGGCTTCACCGGTCCTTTAGAATTGGTTAAAAGTAGTTTTTAAATGTTTTAACAAAGCTAAATATATAAAAATTTGGTTTCAGTTGCCCTTTAAAACGCTCTCGAGAACCAACCTCCCATTTTCGAAGCACCTCCCAATAAACCGCATTTAGCCAATCGATAATTTGGGCCAAATATTCAGCACTCATTTTTAGGGAATACAAATGGCACCTATCCACGGATTCCCCCACCCATTCTATGCATATATTTTGCAAGCCCTGCCGCCGCCCAGGATTAGCTAATTCAACCGTGCCAAATGGGGGAACGTTTTGCATATTCTACCCAAAAAGACGATTCAAAAGCAGTGAAAATTACTGAAAACGAAAATTCGCGATCCTGGAGACCAGATCGTCAGTTCAAAAAACCTAAATCTACGCAACTCCTCCCTCTACGTCGGCTGATGTGTGGCATTCCCCTTCAAAGGCTTCCCCCAAAAAATATGACATTTTCTGGGGAATCGTTTCCGTGAAAGAAACCCCGAAAAAATCAAAGTTCGAGGGTCGGGCGGCAAAATGAAAGCGCGAAACGTTGCGAGGTGTGGAACGTTCAAATTGGGGCTACCGGAATTTGGAGTGTTGCGGAAAACGGTTCCTCCTGATCGTTTTTTTTGTGTTCGGGGGGGTGAAAAGGTTTTTTGTATACCTCTGGGGTTCGTCTATGCAATTTGGACGAGGAGGAGAGAGAGAGAGGAGAGTGAAAGGTAGACACACCGATTTTTCGCGGAAAGCCATTGAAAAGCCACTGTAAATGGGATGGGTTCGGAGCCATTTTGGGGGGTGGGGGTGTTAGACAACGGCGAACGGCTTGAAAGGGGTTCGGCTTGTTTGTGGTAGTTAGGAAAATGGTGGGAAAGTGCGCGAGGAGTCCCAAGGGTTCCCAGAATCGCAACAGTTATCCTAGAATTTAAGGCAGACGCCAGGCAAAATTCAAGTCTGATAAAATTTAGACAATTTTATTACGTAATCGAATAAAAGCACACGGAATTATTAAGTTTAAAATACAGAAAATTTTATTTAAAACTAATTACAGCAATGCTTATTTTTAATCGATTAATTTTATTGCGCATTAGATTATCATTTAATTGCGTGATTGATTAGGCACACGAGCCTAAGAAATAAATTTTTAATTGAATATACACGAATTTGCCATTCCTGAAATTGCTTACTTTAAATTTACATGATTTATTTTACTTAACGGTTGCTATCAATTTCATTACGTAATCGAATCATTCTTAAGAATAGAATTTTCGATTCTAAGTTACTTCAACTTAAAAATCCGCGCCATTTTTTTGGAAACGTACTTACCGTACGCCACAAATTGAACGTATGAATTTAATTCAATCGAATTCAACGAATTTTTTACCTAATTAAATAGCCACGAGAATCCCTACCAATTCCGGATGCAAATTCCGCAACAACCCCAGCTGCGGCTAGTTCGAGATCACCGAAAATGCCACCCAGAAAGGTATAAATCTCTCCCTTCACCACCTCATTTCCTCCTCTCTCAATTTGGTTTGATCGCCGTGGAACGTGTGAAAAAAGAGGCATGGGGGCCGAAAATCAGGGCCAGGCCAATGTAGTGTGTATCGGCGTGGAAAGGGCGATTAGATCTCCGCGCGACATTGGCCCATTTTCTAGGGTTGGCCGTTAATTTTAGGCAAAAAGCCGGGCTTTGGGGGGTTACGGTAGCTTTTCGGAAGTTGATTTTGTGATGTGGAGGCTTGGATATTAGGGGGATAAGCTTGTGAAATTGGTCGCTGGAGCATTTTTCCAGATTTTTCGAGTACGAAAGCTTATCGGTACCTACTGTACTTGATGCGTCAGAGGGTTGGTCCAGTGTATATATCGGAATGAGGTCGAATTTCGGATTTCTAGATGCTACGCAACGTTTTCGAAGCTTGGTAAGCGTAGGCTTGGGTTAGGCTTAGGCTGAGGTTTTGGCTTGTAAGCGAAGCGTAGAAAACGGAATATAGCGGAATTGGCAATTTTAAAGCGTATTTAAGTCATTTTTCTGTATAATCTTAATTAAAATTAAAATTAAAACACAATTAAATCCACAAACCTCATTTTTCTCCAACAAATCGTCTATCAAACGCTCCAAATCGCGATCCCGCTTCAAAAGCAGCGATTCCGACCGTCGCGACATTCTACGAGAAGATGAACCGGAAGACGTGGAAGGACCAGCTAAAAATAATTTTTTTAAATTTATTTAGCCGTTTTATGCTTAATTTTATGCAAATCTTGTTTTTTAATCCTTGAATTTACCTTCAGGCGAGGATTGCCGCGATCCAAAAAGCTCATCCATATCTAGACTTTCTAGGCTAGCTGAGAGTCGGCCTTCGACCTAAAAAATGGATTAATTCAAGTCTAGTAAAATGGATGATGCAAATTAAGCGGTATTCAAATTACCTCAGAAAACGACGTTCTACGCTCTTCAATGGGTGCTTGCCAACCCGCGCTACTACCGTACGAGTGACCCGTTGGCGACTCCAGAGGGGCTCCCTAAATTTGGATCTTAAATTTTTCGAATTTTTTGTTTTTTTTTTTTCCTGATTTCTCAATCCCTTTCAAATCATTTTCTGCTCGATCCATCTCGATCTATCGCGATTCTGGTACGGTGGTTTTTGGAGAGGAGATATGATTTGGAAAATCCGGAAAGTAGTCCCTTTACACCCAAATGACGAGCGAAAACCCGGATTTCTGATGACTGTCTCTATCGGATTCTCGCGGATTTTCGTCGGCTCCACGCCCGAAAGGGCTGCACCCACTTAATTCGCCGTCATCACGATGATGTGAAGCTGATTTCTAAGCTCTATACCCGAAAAAAGCTCAAAAAGGATGTTCTATTGTATTTCCGTAAATGTGATTGGCTAATTTCATGGCGTGTAGTTTTTTGGGGGCGATTAAGAATGGATGGCGTCGATTCAGAGGGGAGGCAGGTGAAAATTTGGATGCCAAAAATTCTACAACACCCCCCCGCAAAAAAGTTCAGGGCTTGAAATTTTGGGGTAATTGCGGTAGGTTGGGCAAAGTTACGCTAAGCTACGCAAAGCTACAAAAGGCTACGCAACGCTGCGCAAAGCTGCTATGCGAGGGGCACTTTACGTCAAGTTCAGCTACGTAACGCTACACCACGATGCGCTACGTAACGCTGCACTACACACTACGTAAAGTTAAGCTACGGAAACTACGCCGCGCTACGTCAGGAGACGCTATAAAGTTAAGCTACTTAACACTACGCTACGTAAAGTCACGTTACATAAAGCTAAGCTCCGTAACGCTCCAAATGGCTCCTTTTTCAATTTTTAATCAAGTTTAAAGTTTGAAAACCGAGAACTCCGCAACTTTACGAAGTTCAAAAACGGCCGGCAAGCGGGGGAAGAGTGATGCTCACGTCGACACATTAAAAGGGACACATTATAGTGAGTATTTTTGGCTCATCCCGAGCCGTTGTGGGATCACCTCCCTTTCGTGACCAATTATATTATTACTATTATCATTATCCACATGCTGTTGTTCTTTTTGACGTAGTTACATGATACATCTACGGTCTTTCGAAAATTGGGGTCGAAAAGTGTACACAAAAAGGAAAATGTTGGTTTTTGATCGTACGGTAGTTTTGGCGCTTAAAATCAAGAATTTCAGAGGGTTTAATTATTGTATTTAATTTTTAAAATTGGTTTAAATTTTGGATGAACGATTACGGTAGCAAAACGCATTAATGCAAGCCTAAGATTTTTATCGTTTGATCTTTTCTTAATTTGGGTCCAGCAGCGATTTTGCGAAATTAAATTGCACAGAATTTAGCCTTCAACGCTCATTTGAAACTTTGGTTTTTGTATAATTAAATTTAAACATATTAAGTTTGATTTTCTAAGTGTTGCACATACAAAAAAAATGGTATTAAAGGCCCCTTAAACACAAATCCACAGCTTTTCAAATCCGCAAAATTTCGCCTTCAGCGTCCCTTTAAAAATGTTATTTCATATCATAAGCTAAGCTTAACCATCAAACTTGCTTTCTAAATGTGGTACCTTCAAAAATTTCCATTTTAAAGGGACTGTGAAGCCAAATCCGGATTTTTAGGGTCCACAGTTTTCGCAGAATCCACGTGTGAAACCACCGTGATGTTGGACCAGAAGCTAGCCTATTCTCTCCACTTTTTCCGGGCCCAATTATCACCGGAAGCACCTGCAAGCTGGGGCTTAATTGACGCAATGAGTGGCCAGTAGCCGGGTGTTTTCCCCTCTTTTGGCTCGAGTTTGGGCCGCTTTTCTGTTTCCCCCCAACCTCCCCGACATATCCTTATTAATTATTTAAGGCGGGGAATCGGTATGGGAAGCTGAAAAAAAGTGGGGGTATGACGCGTTAAGACTGGTTTAATTGTTCATAATTGGGGCTGGGTATTGGAAAGAGTGATGTCAGTTTTCAGAGGAGAAATTGGGCAGCTGGTTTTTCGGGTTGTTGGGTTGAGAGAGCGATGTAGGTCTAGTTTGGGGCTTGGGTCCGTCAGAATTGAGTCCAAATTTTGGTTTAAAAGGATAGTGAGGGCTAGTTTTTGAGCTCGTGCTCCTCAAAAATATTTGAAAAACGAGTTTGGAGCTTTATGGAGGCGACGCGCCTTGAAGGGATGGTGACATTTGCATTTTAACCTCATGTTCACCGAAAATTGTTAGAAATCAAGTTTCGAATTTGTCGGTTCTTTCGAGTGTCAAGCTCCCTTTAAAAAATTGAGTCGGTCCAGCAAAACTCAAAACGTCGATATTTTTGAAAAAATCGGTTCGACAGGAATGGTTACATAATTTTTTGGCCTTAAGGTAACTCCTTGCTTTGAGCATGAGGTCATACTCCCTTCAAACAGGGAAAATGCAAAATACGATACCAAAAAGGAATCAATAAGTGGTCAGCAAAATTTTGGAGAAAGCAAAAATCGGCAAAGTTTTATTTTTTTGAATTCAAGCTGCCCATTGAGCTCCAGCTCATTTCAATCTCCAAAAAACCCAACCTGATAATATTGAGTATGAACGTGGAGAGGTTGATGTGGCTGCGTGACAGACGAGAGCAACATCACCCGCGGAGGGCAGCCGGCATACGGGCGCCTGCAAAAAAAGATGCATTAATAGACATATCTGGATAAGCATTAATAGATACATTCCTTTTATATAACAAACTATATTTACAAAGGGCACAATAATTCAGGCAGTGAAACGTCAAAATTCTGCTCCCCCAATCGAGCAATCGATCTTTATTTGTTTTTTCAGGGGGGCCAATCGGCTCGGCGAAAATGGCGCGGCCTGGGCCCTATTTACCGTAGCTGTACGTGCCAGGGGTGCCAAAGTGCACTTTTTAGGATTTTACGGTAGATAAAGCGGAATTTGTAGTGTACTGGAATGCAAAATCGGAAGTTATATCGTTGGTAGACCAGCCCCAGGGTTCATTGACTAATGCCAAATCCCATTGGTCGGCTGGGGGTGGCGCGCGCCTTTGGTGGGGGAGGAATAATTGGTGCGGGGCGTTAAGAGGAGTGAGCTGTACTACGAAGGGTGCCACCAAGTTCGAAGCTCATACAAACAGACGGAGTAGCTATACGCAAGCTAATTTTGCGTAAATTTTTGGTCTGCGTCGGGTAGTTCCGGGTGGAAAGGACGGCGTAAGGAGTATAGCAACGGAAAAATGATGCGAAAAGAGTGTAAAATCCAGAAAAATTAATTTTGAAATGTGGAAAATCGGAAAACGACCTACACTTTTAGAAGAAAAACTGAGAAAAAGCAAGGAACTTAATTTTAATAGATGGAATCATACTCTCAAAATCAAGTTTTCAAAACCAAAATACGAGGTCATACTCAAACTAAATCTCTTTCGATTTTCATAATTTATTAATTAGCTCCTAATCGTAGCTTCAATTTCTAGGCTCAAAACGAATCTTTTAGGCCTGAGTTGTAACGTAGGTTGAAGCTCCTGAGCTTGAGCTCGAGCTCAGCTTATCCTTTAGCTGCTATGCGTACTTTTGTATCTGAAAGATTCCTACGCTCAAAAAAAAAAAGTTTCTAAGCAAAAAAACAAGCGAATATTGAGATGAAGCTCCTGAGCATCAGCTAGAACTCAAGCTCAACCGCCGGCTCCTGCTAACTGTAGATAATAGGCCACCCGACTGTTTGTCAGATGTTTTCTCTATCTATAAGAGTAGGCGCATGGGGGGGAGCAGGTGCATTTTAGGGCGGTGCTAGTCGCCACGTGGGTTTTGACGTCCTTTCCATTCCTTTCGATTCCGGGTGGTCCAATTTACACTCCGCTGAGAATGATCTGATCCTTCAGACCCTGGCACATCATCGCCAGGGCCGGACCAGGATCTAGCGAACAAGCTGATTTTTTCGCCTAAGAAAATTGTAAAATCCCAGAATGACGAAGAAAACTAAATTGCGTATTCGGGGGGAGCTTACGGTATGGAAATTGGCCAGATTGCCGGCGCGGCATGTGCGGAATTTTGTACTAGATTATGTAAGCAGCGTCTGGAGGGGGTTTTCTACGTATTTTTTACGGGGTCGGATGGAGATTCAGAAAACAGGTAGTGTACTAAGAATGCATCGATGAAGCTGCGTTACGTTCCTTTAGACGGGCTAACGTACTGTTAGATACTCTCGCCTACTACTTACAGTAGCGTACTGTTTACGTATCATAACGCATAACTGCGTACGCTACCGTACGGTAAATTACAATAACGTACTGTGTCGTAGTGTACCGTACTGCAGCGTAAAGTAACGTACCTAAACCTATGGTAACGTACTGCATCGTTTCTTAACGTACTTCAACGTACTGTAGCCTAGCTCGCCGCTACAGAAAAAAGGCAAAAATATAGTATTCAGACGGAATTTTTAGGGTTATCGTTAGAACTTCGAAAATAGACCCAGGTGTAATTAAATTTTAGCAAAAAACGCATGTGGAAATGATAGGCTTAATAATTTTTAAGACTAATAGGACTAGGAATTAATTGATACTGTAGCTCCACAGAATTTTTTGAGCAAGAGCAGGAGGAGGAGGAAAAGGAGGAGCCGAAAATCTACAGTACACCTACCGGCAGGGGCGTGCAAGGGGGGGGGGCAACAGGGGCAAGTTGCCCCCCCCCCCAACATCGGCTGAAGGCCGAAAAGTTCATCAGCCGGGGCCCTTATGTTTTTTTCAATGCAAATTGTTCTGCCTGCGGCGCTGTTTTTCATTAGTGCGTCAACTGTCCATATAAAATTTCGAAAAAGTGTATCGGAAAGATCGAAAAAATTTTCGAGTTGCCCCCCCCCCCCCCCCCCCCAAAAAAAAAATCGGGTTCGTGTACGCCCCTGCCTACCGGTTTCGCAGAAATGTATTCGGTGGACAGGCTACCGTAACCCAAGGTTGGTGGAGGGTGAGGAGGGTGAGGTGGTCGTGATTCCAGAAATCTGTGGGCCTGGGATACCTCAGAGCTACTCTTATACCCATCCCAAATCTCGAACCCCGCTCTCGGATGCCCCTCCCATTTCCCGGGGGCCAGCCACGATCAGCAGCTCATCAAATCTTTCGCGTAGATTTTCATGCTCATCACCCGGCTCGGGCTTAAAAAGCGCGTCAGCGGATTGGAGAAGGGTCCTTTCCCCCTTCTTACCCCTCTCTCTCCCGCTTAATCCGCGACTTTTCTCCATTGGCCACAACCGGGCGGCTAGGGGCCCAGAAAAGGGGGGCGTGGCCTAAATCTCAGCCCAACTCCCCCAAATTCCCCTATCCAGCACAACTTATACCGTAATCCCCCACCCGACGTACGGCTGGTAATCTGAAAAGCTAGATTTTCGCGGTGCCCCTGCCACGTCAAGGGTCAAGAAACGAAGCGTGAAGTTATGATGTGATATAGAGCCCTGAGGGGTGATGATAACCATCAACGAATGTCATGCTCCCTCCCCAAAAATGTCGGACACCGATTTGGAATGGTAAAATCGGTAAAATTCCCGTTCAGGAGCGCCCCGTTCCCCCTGATTGCAAAAATTGGAGTGTGCAGAGCTGTGTGGAATGACGAAAAATATAGTGGAAATGTAAGCAAAGCTTTGTCCCCTGATTCTGAGTGTTTTGTGGGTATCACCGCGTACAGAAATCAAGTTTATGTTTTGGATATTGGGTTCCAGGTTGGGATTGTGACTTAGTCATGTTAAACTACGGTAACGTGGCAGAATGGCCGGAGCTGAAGTGAAGTGAAAGCTTAGGTGAAATCGCCAATTGTAAAAATGAGTTTTTTTAATGTTTAGAGCCTAGTTCTTTTATTTTGTGTAAACTAAATAATTTAGACGGTTGCCTGTCGCTAGGCCAATTTTAAACCTTTTTAAAGGGCTGCCGACGGCATGTGTCGATCCCCCCCCATCAACAAATTGGCAAGTAGCCAACAGGGCAGAGAGCGCGCCCAGGGGGGAGGCGCAGAGACATTTTCTTTCCCGCGCGTAATCGATTGCATTATGCCGCCCCTATCCCTTTAAATAGTGTAATCGGTTCTAAAGAAATAGTATTGTCCCGGAATTACTGAAAGCTAAGGGACAATAGATAAGTAGGCTCTTAGAAAGATTTTTGACGTTTTATATAGAGGTTTCTCTATTTTTTGTATACTAACTAATTAATTAAAGCGCACAATTGGTTTTTCGGTATTAAAATTTCTTACAGTATTTCTAGCTAAATTACGCCTTATTTTCGATATTAAATATAGGTCAGAAATAAGCACGAAATAGATAGACCGCAAATTTCTAGATGCAAATTTTTGAAGATTTTTATCCAGCCCCCCGAAATCCTTCGCACCCCTCGATCGACGCATTTCGGAATCGAGTCATACCAAATAGCTTGTTTTCCCTGCCACCCTCTCCTCCTCTCATTCTTTTCTTTCGAAAACCCCCTCCTCCCCCTCCTAATCCTCCTCCTTCTCCCCTAATTGCAACCTTCGAAATGATGAGCCCCCGAAAAAGTGTGGCCTCCTAATCCGCTCTAAAGCAAAAATTAATTTGTGCGCGCCCGGGAACTGCGTGGGGGGATTTGTGTTGTTTGTTATTTTGTGAAAAAATGGGCTTTGATGGGTTTCAAAAGTTTCGGGACTCAAGTTTCACCTCTCGGATTCGAATTTTCTGGGATCAAGAAAAACCAAATAATTTTCCTGGAATTTCACTCGACCCCTATTGTAATTACGTGAAACAGCTGGAAGGACCGGAATTTTTGAGCGGAACTCAAACTTCAGACGCGCAAAAAAATAGGCGTGATTTGGTGTTTTTTGGAATTTTGGGTATCTGAAATTCACACCTGGCTGGAAGGGGAGAAAGAGAGAGAGAGAGTGAGAGAGAGTGAGAGAGAGAGAAAGAGAGAGAAAGAGGAGAAAAGGAAAGCTAGAGAGAGAGAGAGAGAGGGGGAGAGAGCGTGAGAGAGAGAGAGAGAGAGAGAGAGAGAGAGAGAGAGAAAGAGAGAGATAGGAATTTAACTGGACCCGTACCAAATTGTCTCTTTTTTTAGGTGCACGTGGTTTGTCTAGATTAGAAACACGGCCATAGCCAGGTGTTTTAAAGGGGTTTTGAAGTCTAGTAAATTTAGTGAATCCTTCTCATTAATGCGACCACACTCTAAAGCCCAATTTTAAAGGCAATAAGAACTCAGGGAAATTTTTAGAGTTTTTTGAGCGCGTTAAAAACGATAATTTCGATTTTTAAATGGGTTCTAATGTCAAAAAAGGACCTAACCGACCGCTGGCCATTAATGCGTAAATTTCTGCTGCCCCCAATTTGTTTCCAATCCCTTTAACCCTCCTGCACCCCCCAAAAATGGGCCTCTCAAGCGTTGGGGGTGTTGTGTACGTAATGGAAATGACGGGGTATCCACACATCTGTTTCCGTCCCCTCTCTCTCTCTCTCTCTCTCTCTCTCTCTCTCCGGAAGCGTGAGAATGTCCCTTCGCTCTATTACGGCTTCATCGTCCTCTCTCCCTCCCCTCGATTCGAAATTGGCCTCGAGCCCATCCTCCCTTTTTGCTTTTGCGGCGACTATTTTGTGGGTGACTCCCCTCCACCCCAGTTCTGACGTCCTA